CTGCGAGCAGCGATGAAAGGGCCAAAGCCGGCGGCACCGCCACCCCGGTTATAGTGCCACCAACTGGCAGCAGGAATTCTGTCACTTTCAAAAAGCTTTGAAATCACCTGATTGCTTCAAACTTCACTACTATGATGTAAACACACGGCAGATGTAGACCTGGATGTAGACCTGACCTTTCAGAAGGTTGCTCTCGCATACTTTGTGGTTGATATGTGCCCTCAATGCACACTTTTGCAGAGCCCACACTGATACAAGCTCTACAGCACACTTCTTTTCGACAGTCAAAGCAGGGTTACGTTTTTGCACGTCGTGCACAATAACCCTAAAGGCACCAGGGTGGCGGTGCCACCGGCTTTATATATATATATATATATATATATATATATATATATATAAATATAGCTGCGAGCAGCGATGAAGGGCCAAAGCCGGTGGTACCGCCACCCCGGTGCCTTTAGGTAACTAAAGGCACCGGGGTTGCGGTGCCACCGGCTTGGGCCCGTAATCGCTGCTCGCAGCTATATTTATATATATATATATTTTAAATTATTTTTTACCTTTAATGTTAACAGACAGCAACGGATTCCACCCTCGGGAAATGTATGAAATTGAACATGTTTGAAAATATTGTTTGGCAAATATCTTTTTAAAACAAGAAAAAATGTCGATTTAAAAGAATCAGGTCCAATTTCTTTGGCAATTAGTTGTTTGATTTAATCACACCGCCACGCAGGGCCGTACGGGGGTTTTTATAAATAAAAGGTCCAAAAAATGATCTTGCTAGGGGGGTTTGGGGGCACGCCCCCCCAAGAAAATTTTGGTTTTCCTGATCTCAACATGTCCATTTTAAGGTGTTTTGAAGGCCAAAAAAAAAAAAAAGACAACAGTAGCTTTAAAAGCATGTCAGTGGTCAGCATTAAGTAGGCCTATTTTATCAGATAACAGATTCTTTAACATGAGAATCAGTTTAAATGTCGCAATGAGTGATCCACACTATAAAATGGAAATGCAGAATGTTTATGCATATTGTTGACAATACACAATCACATATTCGAAACGGGAATGTCCTTAAATAAGAAATGATTCAAGGATTCTTTTGTAGATGTTACATTTCAAACAAACGCCAATGCAATCATTCTGTGCCCAGAGGCATATGAGCAATTAGTAGGAGCATCAAAGATCAGATTTAGCTACTTTTCTTTCCTAAGTTAATCAATATTTTTTGGACTAGCTAATCTGTTCATTTAATCAATGGTTCAATTGTTCACTCATAAAGACAGTCACTTGTCGCCGCCTTCCAGCTTAATGATGCAAGTTGCGCAAACACGAACAAGCGGAGTGATACAAACAGTGAAAAGTCGAACACATTCGAGGTAACGTTATACAAATATATTACAATAATAATGGCAATATATTTAATAGGGTGCTTGTGTTGTTAAATTGAGCTTATAGTATCCACGGTCTTTGATCAAACTGAGTATTTCTGTCGATCATTTAAAACTTCTATCGACAAACAGCTGTTTAGATTACTTGCATCTTATCTCGCACGGTATGCCCGTTAACTGACTGAGAAGCGTACAAGCGTCGCGTTGGAATTCGTGCTCGGCTTGCGCTTCTAAATCCCACTTGCTTTGATTGGACTCAAGCATTTTGACATTGACGAGCGGGTGAGGGCTGAAGCAGCTCAGACGAGAAGGTCATCGTTGCGATGGGCGAATCATTGCAGCACCAAATTCGAGTTAATATTGGCCAATTATTTCATAACTTTCATTATATACACTCAACAAAATTTATATATTTGGTGCTGAAGGAGACGGAGCTGAGCTCCGGCAGGGTGTGTTGTGGACCCGAGGAGGCTGAGCTGCGCTCCGGTGCGCTCCGCCCCAATTTAACCTATGGTGACGCCCCTCTGGAAATGATTTGTCTATGACGCTTTGCCAGACCATAACTCAGTTACAACTGAGAATGGTCTGGTTTTAACCAGGCTAACTGATTTGTGATTTCACAGTGAGATTTGTCTGTGGGCCAGAACACATTGTCTCAGCCTCCTTTTGAGCCTATAGACAGTATTGATTTAAAACTCCTTTTGCTTAAGCTTATTGGAGCTTGGATTGATAACGCCTGAGGAGGTTCCCAATAGTGAGATACCTCATTAATTTCATCAGAGAAACTGGTTTACGCAAGTAACCTAAAATTTGTGTTCAGAAGGCAGATAAGAGGACAGATCCTGCAGTCTGTAAGACAAACAGCAGTTTCATTCCTCATACTGTTGATGTTCATGTCAGTAAACAACAATGAAATAATATAGCCATAAAGTCTGAATTTGTACACCATTTTAACTATTTAAGTAAATGTAAGTTAAGGTCCCTAGTCCTTTTTTTCTTCATTTCTGTTCCATGACCAATGTCACAACAGATCATTTTCTTTTTCAGTGAAATATGAATCTCTGTATTCCAATGTCTGTATTGATACCTGCTGTTCATTGACTATATCTGTGTAAATTATTCAGGTTTAGTCTGATGATAAAGTGACGTACGTTGCCATCAGGGGAGCAAAAGCTGGAGGCCATCAAGATCTTTTCTCATCCACCCAGATAAATATCAAAGAGCACAGTATTCAATTAACCATCACAACAATTTAACAAAATAATTCTTACATTTTACAGTAATTCCCAGCATTTCTTTTGAGTTCAAAAAAATATAAAAATAGATAAGCTATCCATTGTAAAGTAACCACAGTACTAGTTCATCCCATACTGAGAATATGAGATGCATACTTTTGCCACAAAAATAATGTTGGAAATGTCTTCATCACACAGTCATAATTTAACACAACTATAACAAGAACCATGAGAACCAACAACCCTCTTTAACCAATAATGTTGTGCAGTAACTTTTCGTTCGTCCAGTAAGTGGTGAATTACTGCCCAACAGTCTGGACAGTCAGAGATGACCACTGATTGAGAAAGTGTGGTCAAATTAAGGAAGTTTTGAGCACAACAGATTTCTCAACAGTAAAAAAAAAAGAGGACTTGCTACAAGAAATAATATTGCAAATACTAGTCATTTACAAATGTTCAGTACATATACATCTAACAGTAGTTACTTGAAACTCTTTTTAAGAAAAAAAATGGTGTCATTTGGGAACTTTGACTTAAAAAATACTGTTATTTAATACATTTTTACAAGCTATGAGAGTTTTCAGGTGACTATGTGTAAATGTATGAAGTGGTCAATATGAGTAGGTGGTAAAATGAGAACATTTACTGCAAACTTCCCCTGAATTGCTCTGATGGTAGGAAAAGCCTTTTTCACAGAAAGTATGAACAGCTTGATTACATCAGATGCATAAACAATATATTTTTATATAATTAATTACATTAAAATAACAACTCAAAGACTGCCACGAGACCAAACTTCAAATCAAGCACTTTAGTCAGTTTGATCCTGTTTTCTTTTGCACTTGGTGCAATTGCATTATATTGATACATTAAGCATATTATTTTAACCATTATTACAATCTGATTAAAAAAATGTCATGCTGTAGAAACAAAGAAATATAGACTAGATTACATTTTTCAACATTTTATTTATAAACATACAGTATTTTGTAAAGCCATTGCATTTGAACATCAAATTAATCTATTTTTGGATAGTATAGATTTGGGATTTGAATAACACAATAAATATACCTTAGATGTAATATATATTTTCCAAGGTAACTATTTCCCTCCTAAACAACATATAACTTGCCTGGCAAACGCCTCGGCCCTGTGTCAACCTAAAGTTATGATGAAATAAACATAAAATACACGACCAGACCCGAAGCACAGAAACGCAGGCTAAATAAATCATGACAGAAGATTAAAAGATTTACTGTTTTCCACAATCAAAAAGCCTTAATTTTACCCTTCTGTTCGGGCACACATTAGGGATGTGCTAACATTGGTAGGCATAAAACTACGGAGCCACTAAAGGGACATATATATTTAAATGCTTCTGCGTTCTCTCGCAAATTATTGCTTTCCCCAAAACTCTAGATTTTTTGAGCGAATGCAAAGTTTCTTGGGGCAACACAAACATTTGCCAGAGAACGGAAAAGCATTAACATAATTTTTCCTCGCGTCTCATATTTTTCATCCCTGTGTCCCTTAAGGGCCTCCGTATAAAACACAAGTTACATTAGCCAGTGAGTGTGTTATGATGAGTAGCTCATGAACATTTTATATTTGTATTGCTTTGCCATGTGTTCAATCTTCAAAATTAAACTAAACTAAAATAGTTATTCCTTATATAGTTATAATTTTTCCTAAAAAAAAATTGGGGGGGGGGAATCAGAAAAGTATTGTACTTTTGGCCATACATTTAAATTTTGCATAATACTATTGCTAGGAAAAAAGATGTACAATGTGCTGTGAAAAGGGCAAAACTGAGATATTTAGGCAAACACTCCATTATTTCAAAGAGCAAGGTGCAACTTGATCCATAAGATCATAAATGAGCAAAAATATATTCCATTTTTCATATGAGCGTAGAAACAGTCTTTGCATCAAACACTTTCTCGTAGACGGCGCATCTCTCCTAAGGCACAACTTCCCAAAGCATCAATGTATGAATATGTCTGTTGTCTTAACCAGCAGTCAGTTCACATGCATTTGCATTGTTATCAGCTCAAATGTACTTTTTATGTATAAAAATACATACTTTCCTCCATATAGTTCATAGAATGATTACAGTGACTGTGTTCCCATGATTACAGGCTTTCTTTTATCACGAGGCACTATGAATGCTAACATGTTATGCTTTGAAAATAAAGACAATATAACTTTATATTTAACACACAGGAATTCTCGTGATAGCTTGGACAGATTTGGTGTTTTAATCCAGACAGAAAAATAACTATTGAAAAGCCATCACTCTGAATGCTCAGCTGTAGTCGAATAGCAAATCAAGCCAGATTTACAAGAATACTCCGATGTAAGAAAGATTTTAAGATACGTTTGCAGCATGAGGATGAATGGATTCAGACAAATTTAAAGTGAAGTGGAGTCATTGCAGGAATTCAGCTCCTTTCCTCATTAGTGTTAATGATCTATAGGTGACTCCAATCGTCCATATGTCATCAAGAGAACGCACTTTTCACTTAAAACACTGTCAGTTCAGCCAGAAGCGTAGTTTTCACTGCAGCCGTGTTGAAAAAGAGACCCAACTTGAAGACGTTGAAGTGGTTTGATTTTAAATGTGCTTCAGTGCTTGTTCACATACGTGAAGATTGTGGGCGAGAGAATTATGGGTAGATTTATTTTGCTCCTACAATCAATGAGTTCATAGGGTGGTGGGCTGACCAGCAGCTAAAAGACAAGAGGAAGAGAAAAGGATAATGAGACATTGACAATGATCTGAACTCTAAATGCAATACATCATATATTTATCATGTATTTGAGGATACGTCATGACTTTTCCTCATCTGCTACACTGAAGGGATGTCAGAATGGATGGAGAGAAAGAGTGAAGCGAGCGTGTGTAACTCACAGCGGGAGCGGATATAGCACTGATGGCAGTTGAGCAGACCGTTCCTGATCCGCACATCTGTTCCTGTGCTGGTGTCGCCCAGCTGGCCCTTACAGATCCCACACTGACAGAGAGAAAAACACTTCAGAGGGTGAAAACACACACAAACACTATAAAGAAAATGTTCTCATTGCTTCAACCTGCTCCATCCAGCAATCTGTTATTTTCAACCTTCAAATGTCATCACTTCCTTTATAAAGGAATACATTGAGAATGATTTCTGAAGGATCATGTGACACTGAAGACTGGAGTAATGATACTGATAGCTTTGATCACAGGAATAAATTACACTTTACTATATATTCACATAGAAAATGTTTCGGTTACGTATGGTAACCCTCGTTCCCTGAAGGAGGGAACGGGGACGTACGTCGGAGGAGACCGACAGAAATGGGATCCCTACTCCAAATGCCACGCTGCTGGCCCTGCTGGGGAACGCTGCGGAAGCCACATGCTGCCCGGAGGGAGGTAACATGTGGAGAATACACATCTGGACTAGCCAAGTAGGGTAGTACAACATATGGAAGTCTCTGGGGTGGTTCCAGCCTAAGTCTAGGGGGGAAGCGCACCGGCAGAGATGGCAGAGCGGGCTCTGCCAAGGGAAAGACACTGGCTAGCCGACAGAGTAGCCGTACCACGTAAGAAAACACATATGGGGTCGCCGCAGGGAATGCTACATATGGGACCCAGCCTAACACAGGTTCCTCAAAGCATACGCGTGTAGGCCTGGCATCAGATGCTCCACAACGTCTGACTGCCGCAGGGGTGATGGAGTAACTCAACAGGGTTAGACGTTTACGGATAACTTGCTGGAGCAAAATACGCATGTATCTGGCCCACCAGCCGAGAATGGCATAGTAAGCCGACACTTGAGCGGGTTCCCCGCGCTACTAGCCACTTAGGGCAAGTATACGGGAGGACACCGGCTCTACACGAAGACTATAGAATCTAGCAAACGTGTTGGGTGTCGCCCAGCCTGCAGCTCTACAAATGTCTGTCAGCGAGGCGCCTTGAGCCAGCGCCCTGGAGGAAGCAACACTTCTAGTTGAGTGTGCTCGCAACCTGAACGGGCAAGGCACGTCTTGGGATTGGTACAATAGCATCCACTATCCACTGGGCCAACTTCTGCTTGGAGCACCAGAACCAAGTCCCAAGAGGGTCTTATAGGGAGGAAGAGGCGGATTCAGTCTCGTCGCTCCCCTCAGGAACCTGATGATCAGGTCATGCTTTCCCAACGACTTACCTTCAACTGCATCATGATGCGGGGCAATAGTGGCGACATTCACTTTGAGGGTGGAGGGAGACAGCCTTCGCTCCAAACCATCTTGCAGGAAGGAAAGCACAACACTGATTGGGCGTTTTTGGGGGTCTTCCCGGTGGGAAGAGCACCACTCAACAAACAGGGTTACACTTCAACGCAAAGAGACGCCTCGTCAAGGAGGCTCTAGCGGAAGTGTTGGTGTCTACCACTGCCTGGGGTAGGTCAGCTAGAATCTCTGCGTCCTGTCCAGGGACCAGACATAGAGTTTCCAGCGGTTTGGATGCAGGAATGGACCAGGGAGGGGCTGTTGCGAGGAGCATGAGGACTGGGAACCAGGTCCGGTTGGGCCAATAGGGCGCAACTAGCAGGACCTGCTCCTCGTCCTACCTGACTTTGCACAAGGGAGGCTCTGTGCAAGAAGGCTCACTAGGGGAAACGCATACTTGCATAGGCCCCAGAGCCAGCTGTGTGCAGGTGCATCTGTGCTGAGGGTTTCGTTGGTCAGGGAGAAGAACAACTGGTAATGCGATGTGTCCGGGGAAGCAAACGGATCTACCTGTGCGGCCCCCAAAGCGGGGGCACCTGGGGATGGAGTCGCCACTCTCATGGAACCGTAGGCTGTCGCGAGAACTCGTCGGCTGCACGAGTGAGAACGCCTGGGATGTGAATGGCACAAAGCGACCTCAGATGCTTCTGACTCCATAGGAGGAGATGGCGGGTGATTTGCTACATGCGGCGGGAGCGTAGACCACCTTGTCGGTTGATGTATGCTACAGTCGCAGTGCTGTCCTTGCAGACCAGTACATGGCAGACCAGTTTGGCGACAATCCGGGGTGACGGGCACCCGGTGCGTGCCACTCTGACAAGCCCATCTCAGGACCCGGCCATGAAGCCAGTGCTGAAGCGGGCTCATATGAAGCAACCCGAGCGGCATTGCTGTGGCTGAGGATGCCGTATGCCCCAGGAGCCTCTGAAAAAGTTTCATTGGGGCCGCTATTCTGCGTTTTAACGAGTTCAAGCAGTTCAACACCGACTGGACAGGTCGATTGCTGCAAACCAATCTCGGGGAAACGCATTCAAAAATGTGTTTCTGCGTTAGCATCTTGAACGGGAGCTTGTGAAGGGCCTGCGGTTTTCTGCGTGAGTGTTGGGCCCGAGGAGGTGGTCTCGGGGGGGAAGCCAACACTGTAACCCTCAGATCACCAATGATATTAGCCGAAGTAGCCATAAAAAGGTGTCAACTCATCAGCTCATTATCACATGGGTTAATGAGCTGATGAGTTGAATCAGGTGTGTTTGATTAGGGAGGGAGACAGAGAAAACGTGCAGTGTTGGTGGGTCGCCAGGACAGGTTTGGGAACCACTGGTCTAAAATGAGCCAGAAATCCTGATGGTCCACCTGGAAAATCTTAAATTAATGATATTTTCCACTATTATGGATAATCTTTACACATTGTAGGATCCAGAATATTCATCCCAAGATCTCTAATAGATCTTAAGGTCTGTTCACACCAAGAAAGATAACCATTATGATAACGAACTATAACAGTACTGTTTTGTGTATTATAAGAATACTGCAGATTTGTCGTCTGTCGCTTTAAAGCAGGATGGATTCTGATTGGCAGTCGATGTTTTATCGGTCATTAGCTGGAAAAACATCATTCTGAAAGTGATTCCAGTGTCGTTATCGTTATATCTGTGCCGTGGACTCTACTATTCTCTTGGAGTTAAAACAACTATTAAAACTTTATAGTTAAAGTTATCGTCGTTGGTGTGATAACAATATCTGTACTTTTCCAGTTGTTTTGCGTACTCATACCTTAAAGCACTGAATGTGGAAGTAAAGGCTGAGAGTCTCTATGATCATGGCGGCACCTTTGCCAAGTGGGTGTCCACAACTTGAACACAGTTTCTTCCCACTGACAGACCTACACACACACACACACACACACACACACACAACAAGAGCAAACTTATCATCTAAAGTCATTCAATAACAACAGGACTGTTGTCAATAATCAAAGATGGCAGCATCAAAACTAGTGGTCGACTTAAATGGGTTTATCCATGCTGATATTTGCAGAGCAGAATGGGCCTTTCTATATTGTTGATATGATCATATTATATAATGATTTCACTTACAATCTGATCTGGGCTGGGGAGAAACAAGTGATCATTTGACTCGTGTATTTGGCTCAGGTCAGAGAAACTGTGCTGTACCTGTTTGGTGATGGAGGTGTTTGTGTGTCTGTGAATGAAGGTGAGGATGATGGATTTGGCCCAATGTTCTCTATAGAGTCAGACCTGAGGATGAAGAGTCACATGCAGTGTTCAGCCCTCATCTCACACACACACACGCTCGGAATCACTACGCTTCAGCCATGAGGATGAATTCAACAAAATCACAAACATAAAATAATTTACACACACACACACACACACACACCTCTTGCGTCCACCAGGTTTTGGTTGTGATGTATTCTTATTCCAGGTCTCGTTCTGCTCTCTATTGCCCAGTGGTGTATCTGTAAAATATCAAACAAACCATAGACAAGTACAGAAACAAACCGTTTTCATAACACACTGCAGCCTCAACTGGATGAGGATCATTGTGATTCTCGTGGTGTTGTGCTTATTGTCTTCGGCCTGTTATGACAGCCGATTATTTTTTTCTTAAATTAAATGAATGTACTATATATTTAGTTTCGATAATATTTAATATGTTTATGTTCACCACTAAATTAGGCAAAATTTATGTCTATAAAAAAGTTGACTAAAAAACATTTAATATTATTTTCAAATAATACTTTTCCCCCCCAAATAATTTCATTAGGTTAAAAATAGAGCAAAGGTATTTAAAATCCACTGCATGGAAGGCTGATTGAAGGCATTTGATGGGAGAAATGAAGGAAATCTCATGTAATATCATGATGTCACCACTAGATGCCTGTATAGTCCTATATTAATATACATAGAGAGCTGTGTATTGCATTTGGAGATGTACTGTATGTTTACATATTATCAATGACTGCTGTAGCCCAATTGTAGATTTTACTCCACAAAATTGCTCTGTATTTTCAATGGCAGACTATTGTTTAAACCATTTGGCTGTTTTGAATCATGTTCATGATATTTTTTTTTTTCATATAGCAAGTGTCATAAAAGTCACCAAGTTTCAGAAAATCCAGATAAAGTAGTACATTTTAAACATAACATTTTTTGGTATAAAATGACCAAAGACCACCAGAGGGTTCAGTGAAATTGATCATTTATTTGAAAGATTAACACATATTCAGTTACTGATTTTTTAGAAAACCTAGTTAGTCATCTATCTAGATGGCATCTGAAGTCATCGCAGGCACACTCTCGACACAAAGCCTTTTCCAGCCAGTTAAGATCTTATTTTGGCTCAATTCCTTAAATGAGAAAGTAATCCCATAATGCACTGGGACAAGCTCAGTGAACAAAATAATCCAAGATGGAAATAGTTCTATTCCATTCACATTTATTAATGTACCCATAAAAAATGCATATCTGATTAAAATGAACTGATGAAACAAGTATTGTAATTTTGTATATTAACTATGCTAGTTTAGCAACACTGTGTACTTCAACCAGACCACACAGAAACTTGGACTAAAAATCTCACCCTGTGGAGACTGCAGTGGCTCCCCTCGCCCTCGTCCTCTCGGACCCACCGACACACAGCCTGGCTGAGGAGAACTGCTGTGGAAACATACACAAAACAAGATCTTTAGTTATAATGATGAGTTTGAAAACTTTTTTAAATGTTTAAGTTCACTCAAAAATTCTTCATATTGTTCCAAACCCATATACTGTTATTTTTCCATGCAACACAAAATCTTCATGTGGCTCTTTTCCATTAAAGGTGACATATTATGCCCCTTTTCACAAAATGTAATATAAATCTATGGTGTCACCAGAATGTGTCTGTGAAATTTCAGCTCAAAATCCCCCTAGATCATTTATTATAGCTTATCAAATTTGCTCCTTTTTGGGTGTGAACAAAACGGCTCAGATTTTGTGTGTGTCCAATTAAATGCAAATGAGCTCCGTTCAGAAGAGGGCGGAGCCTTTACACAAGCTTCAGAGACTCCAGCAATAACAAAACACACCAATCTCACTCATCCAAAATCTCAGAAATCCCCCCCCCCCCCTTCCTTCAGTTGTGATGGCTAATGTAATCTCTCCGGAATAAGATGGACATCCTACATGCCAGATGCCAAGTGGAGAAATCTTTTCGGGAGGCCTGCATCATCGCGCTGTCCGAGACGTGGCTGAAGGACTCCATTCCAGATAACTTCACCCTCATTCGAGCGGACCGGACGAGTGATTCCGGTAAGGAAAGGGGCGGAGGTGTCAAGATCCATGATAGGGTCTGCACACCTCCGGTAAGGAAAGGGGCGGAGGTGTCAAGATCCATGATAGGGTCTGCACACCTCCGGTAAGGAAAGGGGCGGAGGTGTCAAGATCCATGATAGGGTCTGCACACCTGACATTGAAATGCTGACTCTTTCGCTTCGCCCCTACTATCTCCCTCGGGAATTTCCCACGCTGGTTATCAGCTGTGTTTATATTCCGCCTGGTGTTAACACCAGCTAGCAGCCCAGAATTCCGGCGTTTATTTTTGGGGGATTTTAATAGCTGCAAACTGGACAGTGTCCTCCCATTCTTTAAGCAGTATGTTGATTTCCCCACAAGAAAAGATAATGTGTTGGATTTGTGCTACGGGAACATAAACAATGCCCCCACTATGCTCTGCGGATCACAACATCGTCTTTTTGCTCCCGCAATATAGACAAATGCTGAAGAGAGAAAAGCCAGCTACCTACAGCATCACCCAGTGGACGGAGGACACAACTGCACAACTCCAGGGGTCATTTGCATGTACAGACTGGAGTATTTTTGATGGTGACCTGGATATATAAACGGAGATAATAACCGATTACATCAAGTTTTGCATGGCAACAGCATTCCAGTCAAAACTGTTAAAAGTTATCCCAACTCGAGACCATGGATGACCGGCCAAATAAAACTCACACTCAAGAAGAAACAACAAGCATTTAATCACAAAGACTGGCTTTCACTGAGAGAAATTAACCGCTCTGTGAAAAATGAAATCAAAAAGGCAAAACTTGCATATAAAGACAAATTAGAAAAGGATTTCAGTAGCATGAACACCAGACAGGCCTTTCAGAAGGTGAAAACACTCTCTGGAACCACTTCGAAAGCCAGCATTCCTACATCTACTGATCTCAGCTCGTTCACCAGAGACCTGAACAAATTTTATGCCAGGTTTGACACCGTGAATTGTACCACTGACTGTGAAAGACTGCTCAGGAGCATACCCACCCCTGAACAGCCACACTTTGACCCCTTAACGGTGGGAGACGTCCATCAGCAGCTCAGGAGGTGCTATACTGGCAAGGCCCCTGGCCCAGATGGGATCACTGGGAGGCTGCTCGAGAACTGTGCCTTGGAGCTATCTCCTGTTCTCCATTCACTCTTCAAAGAGTCACTACAGACAGCAACTGTCCCCACCCTCTGGAAAACAGCCACCATCATCCCTGTCCCCTAAAGACCTCGCCCCTCTGAATTGAATCATTACAGACCAGTAACACTTACTTCCATAATAGCAAAATGCCTTGAGAAACTGGTACTAAACACTATCCTTCCGGTTGTCTGCCCACAGCTGGATCCTTTCCAGTTTGCCTACAAGGCCAAAAGAGGAACAGAGGATGCAGTTGCATGCCTCCTTCATACTCTCCTCCAACATCTGGATTCTCCCGGCCATTATGCCTGGATTCTCTTTATAGACTTCAGCTCCGCCTTCAATGCGATTCAACGCCACATCATGATAACTAAACTGTGTGGTATGTGCATGTTATGCGTGTTGAGTGTTGCTCCTGGTACAGTCTGTGAAAACAAATTTCCTCTATCGAGGACAACAAAGAATGAATATTAATATGAATATGAACTTTTAGGGGCTGTTCACATATTGCGTTTAAAAATGCGTGGAAGGGTACTCCTTCTTTCCAAAGCGCTTGCGCTCCCGTGGCGTCTGTCGATGCTATGCAACCACGATCTGTGCTCTCCACACGACGAGGAAGTTTCTGTAATGGATTTCCACCACCAAAAAACTCTTGCTGTAGCTCTGCTACAAGATTTATTTACAGAGAAGAGAAAAAACCCTGTAGTGTTTGGGTGCACCCTAACTTTCATGTTGATTGAGCTTTCAATGTTGTTACTGAAAGGGTGAAGCTGATTCGTTGGCTCTTGTCACATGACCTGCGGTGCGCTATCAGCATTCTGAAACCAAACATTTTCAACAAAACATCAATATTTAAAGCTCTGTCAATTCTCAAAAAGAACTTCAGCAGATGAATGACAGAAATAAAGTCAAACTGGTTAGTAATAAGTGAAGCTGGTAATGCTGTTTGTGGAGTTGTTTAATCCTCCTCTGCTGAGATCTTGAGGGATTTAAAGCTGCAGTCGGCAAGTCTGGCAGATTGAGTGGATTTAGGCAAAATTTTTAATGTTTACAACTCTCATGCCCCTCCCCCACTATCAACGTATACCCTCCCCCCGAGTTCGTGCTCGTCAGTGTGTGTGCACCAGGTTATCTGTGAACGCGCCCGTCTCATCAGCATCCATCAACACCATGGAGTATTTGGAGGTATCCTGGCTAATCTACCGATAGATTGCAATTGCTAACGTCATTTATACTCTAAATGAGCTTACTCGATTTGTTAGTGTTTTGAAAGCGAGATACATCCGCCATCACTCTTCGTTACTGCGCGAACTTCCGCGAGCTTCAGGCGTGTGCCCGTGATTGTAGCGTGCGCGAGGGGTGGCGTGTGCCCGATCTGTGATTGGCAGTCAGATCTCACACACCCCTGCGCTGATTGGACCCGATGATCCGGGAGCGGTGGATTTTTGCAAAACAAATAACACGCTCCAGGTGGAGTTAGAAGCTCGGGTTTTTTTCTAAAACCACTTTATTTATGTTGTTCTGTCAGATTATAGTGTCGATTTCACTGAATATGATCAAAAAAATGTTAATGTCCTCTTTTATCTTCAGCTGATTTCATCTAAGGCTGTGGTTGAAGTCAGTTGTAGTTCTTGTGTTTCTCTTTTTCTGTTCTTGTTGTTTCTCTTTCTTTCAGTGATTCTGCTTGTTAACAGCAGGTGTTCATCACTAATGCTCAATCATCACTAAATCACTTAATTATCATTAATTAATGATTTTGCTGTGTAGAAAAAAAGTAACAGCTTGAAGGTGTGGAATGACAAATAATGGCAGAATGAACATTTTTGGGTGAACTTTTTCTTCTAGTTGACTGCTGGAGTTGTTGTCCCAGACCTTACTGTCATCTGTAAACTCTGTGTGTGTGTCTGCGCTGCTTCACCGATGCCGTTTTCCCCTTGTCTGCAGGTCTCAGAGCTCTGCTGGAGGAGAACACAGTCAGTGTCATCTACACACACATTAAGCTCTTCATTTAACGTCATTCATTGAAGTCTCACCGTCTGGTTCTCCACTGGCCCCAGCCTGTGTTCCCGCTCGGGCTGGGAGTGCAAAGTGTTTTGTGTTTTGGGAAGGACTGACAGTGCCGTCGGTGAGTGAGGGGTCACAGGGGTCAGAGGGGACAGGGGGGTCAGCGGGGTCACGGTCTCCTCCAGAATCTTCCTCTCCTGTATCGACCACACAAACACAATCACTGGCAAAGCTTCTATGAGCCAACAAGTAGCGCAACTTTTGATTATTCAGTGGTGTGATGATCAGATTCATCTATTGATCTACTCTGCTCTGATTGGTCAGATGTCTCAGTCTGCTGTGATTGGTCTATTCTGCTCTGATGGGTCAGATGGCCCAGTTTGTTGTGATTGGTCAAAAAAGCTCATTATCATATCTGAATCTCAGCTCTTGATACACTGTGATACGAACAGTAACGGTGGCGTGGGTTTTACCGTAACAATCTCATCAAAGTGGATTTACTTTGGCAGCAGAAAACAGAGTCTTCTCGACTTGAACAACACAAACCAAACTCTTCCAGTCTCAGATACACTACAGTGTACAGAGGGCGGAGCAAAGAGACGCTGTTTAGCCAATGAAGACCATAGACTGGTATTATGCAAATGTGTTATAATTTTATGCAGTTATATAACAGAAGTGAGACTGGAATTACTGACGACTCGTTTCAGACAGTTCAGAATAATTTTTTTCTTTTGGGAGACAACAATTTTATTTATCTGAACTTTTATTTTTAAAACTTTACAGACCTTTTACATTCACAAACAGCTCTATGACACACTGCATGAAAGGTCATATCTGAAAAAGCATAATAGGTGCCCTTTAAGTATGTGAAAAAAAGTAAGGAAGTACCAATATCAATTCAGTATGCAAATATTACAATGCCATCAGTGCTATCGGTAACATTTTGAATGGTAGTAAATATTGTAACAATGTCAGTCAATGGGAGATGTGCAAACTTCAAGACCTGTAAAGAGAGAAACTTCACCTCCTCATGGTACCGCCTCTCCTCCTCTTCCACTTCCTTCTGCGCCTGCTCCCATTCCTGCTTCAACTTCTCCTGTTCACGCCGATATTTCTCCTGTGATCACACACATGCATTTCATCCATTAATGCAGAATCTACAAATGCCTTAGGAGACCCTCTAACACTTGAAACTCCAAATGGCTCTTTAAAGCTACAATATGTAATTTTTTCGCCGTTAGGGGTCGCTAACCCCTTACAATAACAAAGGCTTAGGTTGATGACGCAGTGATAAGCGGAATCATGGAACTTGTCATCATGCTGATAGATCTAATAATGTTTATGAATGAGTGAAAACATTCATGTTTTTATCATGACTGTGTTATGAAGCAGGGCGCGATTGCTAATGAGAGACAGATATCAGCGCCACACGCGAGTCCCGCGGATATAAAGGAATAAGGACATTTCATTCTACCGAACTACAAGCAAGTGCTGAATTACTAACGTAGTCACACAGGTTTATTAGACGAATGAAACTTGTGAGGTAACGCAGCGCTGTTTCACTTGCTCTACACTATCATACTAAACTGCACTTGAGTGAGTTATAATGTTATAAAGTTATATTCTATTCTATGTGTTAGTTTGTCTGTATGAGACTAGCAGTAAGCTGAATCAACATTAGAATAACATACTGATCATATTCTAACATTTCATCATGTTGAGCTATATAACATTGATATGTTTTATGTACATTTGCTCACCTGTCAAATAAAGTACATGCAAGAGCGGCGTCTCTGTCGAGTCGAAGTTTGTCACGAACGTGGAGATCTCGGCATCTCGAAAACGCCACGCTGATATTGATCCTCGTTTTATTTCTACTTTTGTCCCAAAGTCTGCTTGCCATGGTCCATAATGTTTGAACAAAACAACAACAGCGTAAGCGTCCCGCTAGACGTAACGCAGTTGTCCACGTCTGTCGCCATGGTTACTAGGCAGTACGAGTGGAAACCAGGGCTAATGCGGATATTACGTCAGTGACAGGCGACAGGGAACAGGGATGAACACTGTTTAAAATTGTGAATTTCTCTGAATTGACAAATTCTTGGAAACATTCAGGATAATGTAAGTACTCAATTTAAAGAAATATATAACACTGTGCAAGTGGTTTTTGGATATTTTTATACAAAATTCTTACATAATGTACCTATTAAAGCCGTGTCTTCTTTATATCATTATTAAGCTCTTTTACATCGGTATAGAGTAAACAAGGTTAAGGTAAACTGCTTGGGATTCAAAAAGTCCACTAGGCAGCCAAAAGACAACATTTTAAAGGCACAATCAATTACGTCTTTGATTTTTTTTTTTTATTGTTTGAAAAGACTGACAAGACAAAAAAATATTGACACCCAAAAAATATGTAACACTTGAAAATATGATCTCTATTTAAAACAACAACAACAACAACATTCTAAGCAGTAAATATATGTGTTATTGTGCGTTTAAATATCTTGACATCTGCAGTGAAAAGCTATTTTCTCAAACAGGCAATCATTCCCCCTGCACACACACACACACACACTCTCTCTCTCTCTCTCTCTCTCTCTCTCTCTCTCTCTCTCTCGCTCTCTCTCTCTCTCTCTCTCTCTCTCTCTCTCTCGCTCTCTCTCTCTCTCTCTCTCTCCTCTCTCACACACACACACACACACACACTCTCTCTCTCCTCTCTCTCTCTCTCTCTCTCTCTCTCACACACACACACACACACACTCTCTCTCTCTCTCTCTCTCTCTCTCTCTCTCGCTCTCTCTCTCTCTCTCTCTCTCTCTCTCTCTCTCTCGCTCTCTCTCTCTCTCTCTCTCTCTCTCACACACACACACACACACACTCTCTCTCTCCTCTCTCTCCTCTCTCTCTCTCTCTCTCTCTCTCTCTCTCTCTCTCTCTCTCTCTCTCTCTCTCTCTCTCTCTCTCACTTCCGGTGTGTCTGGGTGCGAGTTGACCGAGTGTGAGCGTGGCTGGAGAGCTTGTGAGTGAATTTGTCATTTTCTATTTTTTCCCTTGCTGGTTTTTCTGGTCTTTTCTATTGATTAGTTTGTTGGGCCGCTTGCTATCCACTTAGTTGGGAAGCATGTCGGCCCCACGCGTGCAGGTTTTGAGTTCACTCACGCGGCGTAATGCGGTTAATGTAGCCGCCGCGGTGAGTGTGGAGGAATGTTGCCTTGCCATTGGTGAGGTTGTTGGGCATGGGAGCGTGTTATCCGCCTCCAGAATGAATAGTGCTGTTGTGGTGTTTCTCAATAGCGTAGATAAAGTCAATGAAGTAGTCGAACACGGAATAGTCATTGGTGGTGATTTTGTCTCTGTTCTTCCCCTTTCATTGCCCGCCAAGAGAGTCACTTTGTCGAATGTTCCACCGTTCGTAAGCGATGAAATTTTGACACAGTCTTTATCTCGTTATGGAAAATTGGTATCTCCGATCAAGAAGATCCCAATTAATAGCGGTTCACCGTTGTTGAAACACATTGTTTCGTTCAGGCGTTTCGTTTATATGATTATTCAGGACGATGTAGAGTTAGACATGACACTCAATTTTCGAATTGACAACTTTGATTATGTAATTTTTGTCACCACCGCGAAATCAAAGTGTTTTGGTTGCGGTAAATCTGGACATTTAGTTCGTAATTGTCTTGACAAGGTTGCAGAAAAGGAAGTAAACGCAGTGAATGGGAGTATTGAAGGCGATGGTGGCGCGGATGGTGTTGCTGACACTGATTTAGTTGGGGGGGTGGCGGCTGCGGGTGTTCCCGGTGAGAGTGTTGTTGCGTCGACTTCACTGCGCTGTGAGCACTCGGTGTCGGACACGGTGCCCACTAAAATACTTTTAGAGGCTAGTGTTGAAGATTTACCGAGTGTAGCACCGGTTTCTGAAGATCAACATGTTGAGCAAATAGAAAGTGAGAGTAATGCAGTGATTTTGCAAGACGAATGTGTAAAGGATGGTGTGGAGAAAGAACATTTTTTTAAAATACCTTCCAATAAAAGGAAGATAATTGATAAAATGGTTGATGCCAAAATAAGTAAAACGAGTGAAATGCAAGAAAGCATGGATCAAGATACAGAAAGTGATGGTGGGTCTTCTGACTCCAGTGTGACACTTTCTCAGGGGGAGTTTAGTGGTCGGGATTATGAACTTGAGGATATTAAGTTATTCCTCAGATCAACAAAAAATAAAAGAGGAGTGCGCGTGAAGGAATATTTTCCTGATGTTAAACAGTTCGCTGAAAAGGCAAAAAGCTTAATGGCAGAGAGTTGCTTTTCTAATAAAGAAGTCTATAGACTTAAGAAAATTGTGAGGAGTCTCAATACTGCTTTAATCAACGATGTCAGTTAATTTAAAAAAAAGAATGGCTGATGTTCTGTGGCGTTTTGGGTGGTTTTTCTTTTCCTTATTTTTATTTATGAGTGAAGTTCATGTAGCTACTTTGAATGTTAATGGGGCAAGAGCTTCTGGAAAAAGAGCTACAATATATGAAGTAATGAAGCAAAAAAATATTGATGTTGTTTTATTACAAGAAACTCATAGCGACTTAAAAAATGCTTCTGACTGGGCAAGGGAGTTTGATGGCATCCCTGTGTTAAGCCATTACACTTCAATAAGTGGGGGAGTAGCCATTTTATTTGCAAAGAATTTTAGTCCCATATCTTATGATGTTGATGAGATAATAAAAGGTAGGCTTTTAAAAGTGAGAGCTGTTGTTGAAAGCTATGTGTTTATTTTTATTTGTGTATATGTTCCAACTGCTCCTGTTGAAAGAATGTCTTTTTTAGACATACTATGTGCAACTCTACATAACTGTTGTTCTGAAGACTTCTTGTTCCTTGGTGGTGATTTCAATTGTACTGAGCATAATCTAGATCGGAATCACATTGAGCCTCATTTGGCTTCGCGTAAACGTTTAATTCAAATTATCAAAAAGTATGATTTATGTGATATTTGGAGATCTTTAAATGGTAATGAGAGACAGTACACTTGGGTTCACACACGTGATAAGGTTATGTCTTTAGCTAGGCTAGACAGAGTTTACAGTTTTAATCACCATCTTAGTATTTTAAATAAATGTTATATAACACCAGTAAGTTTTTCGGATCACAGTATGGTGCACTGTAAGCTTATTTTGAGCTCAATAAAACCAAAAAGCGCATACTGGCATTTTAATACTAATTTGTTAAGTGATAATTTTTTTAAGGAGTCATTTAAGTACTTCTGGGATGTTCACAGAACAAAGAGGTCTTCTTTTTATTCATTGCAACAGTGGTGGGATGTTGGTAAGATCCAAATAAGGCAGTTTACCCAACAGTATACTCACAACGTTACTAAGGAGTTGACTCGTTCTTTAGAGCTTTTAGAGGGAGAGATAATTGAATCTCAAAATCTGGCACAATCTACTGGCAAGACACATTATTTAGAAGCCTGTTCAAGGAAGAAAGCTCAGTTAGCTGATCTACTGGGGCATAAAGTACAGGGGGCGCTGGTCCGCTCACGTTTCCAAAGCATTGATCAGATGGATGCACCATCCCAATACTTTTTCAATCTGGAAAAAAAGAATGGTCAGAAACGGTTTATTCATGGTTTGCGCTCCGAAGATGGAGTGTTATTGACAGATCCGGCCGGTATTCGGGGAAGAGCAGTTGATTTTTATAAAAATTTGTATAGGAGCGAGCTTAAGTCAGAGTGTGGTGTTGATAACGTTTTCCTTGACAGCTTACCAAAGCTGTCAGAGGAAGCCAATGATGAGCTTGAAGGGGTGCTGACCCTGGATGAGCTCTATAAGGCCCTGCAAGCCATGAAGTCTGGGAGTGCCCCAGGAATGGATGGCATCCCAGTTGACTTCTACAAGGCTTTTTGGTTGGAAATGGGTGTAGATCTGCTGGAGGTACTGAAGGACAGCTTGTTGAAGGGCGGGTTGCCATTGAGTTGCCGAAGAGCGGTGATCACTCTAATTCCAAAAAAGGGGGACCTTACAGATATCAAGAACTGGCGCCCTGTCTCGCTTCTCTGCAGTGATTATAAAATACTTTCTAAGGCATTGAGTAACAGATTGACTGGAGTGTTGGGTCAGGTTATCCATCCGGATCAGACGTACTGTGTCCCTAGTAGATCAATATTTGATAATATTGCTTTAATTCGAGATATTTTTCATGTCTCTAAGTTGTTACATTTGGACTGTGGCTTGCTATCTTTGGATCAGGAGAAGGCTTTTGACCGAGTGGAGCACTCGTATTTGTGGAGTACTTTAACAGCTTTTGGTTTTAGCAAAAATTTTATAGACATGATTAGAGTACTTTATTGTGACGTTGAGAGTACGCTGAAAATAAATGGTGGCTTATGTGCTCCCTTTCAGGTTCTCAGGGGTATCAGACAAGGTTGCTCCTTGTCTGGAATGTTGTATTCTTTGGCGATTGAGCCTTTGCTTCAGCAGTTAAGAACCCAATTAAGTGGTTTGTTTTTACCAGTTTGTAATAAAAAGATTTGTTTGTCAGCCTATGCCGATGATATTGTGGTGATGATTAACAGACAAAGTGATGTGCAAATTTTATTTAATTTAATTAAAGAATTTAGACTGTTGTCATCTGCAAAGGTTAATTGGAGAAAAAGTAATGCGTTATTATTAGGACAATGGGCTGATGGTAAACCTTGCCTTCCGGATGGGATGGTTTGGGGAAATGGAGGTATAAAATATCTAGGAGTTTATCTAGGGGATGACAGTGTGTTACAAAAAAATTGGGAGGGGTTGGTGGAAAAAATTAAAGGGCGCTTGGAAAAGTGGAAATGGTTATTACCGAATATGTCCTATAGGGGGCGAACTCTCATTGTCAACAATTTAGTGGCATCTTCACTTTGGCATAAGTTGGCATGTGTAGACCCTTCACCACAGTTTTTAACGGAAGTTCAAGCTGCTTCGGATGAACTTTCTTTGGGATAAACTACACTGGGTCCCTCAGAGTGTTTTATACCTCCCCAAAGATGAAGGTGGGCAAGGTTTGATTCACTTACAAAGTAGAATGGCTGCCTTTCGGTTACAGTTTTTAAAAAGGTTACTTGATGGTTCTAAAGATTTCAGTTGGCGTGCTGTGAGTTGTACCATTTTGCACACAATAGGGGGGTTCGGTCTGGACAAATCCCTCTTTTTAATGGATCCAACTAAACTGGATTTATCGGAACTGCCTGCCTTCTATCGAAATCTTTTCAAGGTGTGGAGTTTTTTTCGTGTTTATAAGACTGAGAACTCATATTCTCTCCACTGGCTGTTGCAGGAGCCACTGATACTTGGGGCCCGTTTGGACATTGCCATTCACTGCTATTTGCCGGGGTTTAGCAACATTTTCCTGCAATCCAAGGTCTTTACGCTGGGACATTTGTTGACATTAACCGGGCCTCAATTTGAGAATGTGGACGCCGTATCCGAACACTTAGGAATCAGATCTGTTCGTTTATTAACTCGTTTTCTGGTCAAACTTAAAGCCTGTTTGACAGGTGAAGAGGAACATTTGTTAAGAGACTTTTTTAAAGGAGTTTGTACTCCTGATGTTGATGATCCTTTTCCATGTTTGATTATTTAACCCAATCTTGAAGAGGGTACAGGTTTTTTGCTGCAATCAGGTGAATCTTTGGATTTAGATTTCTTGTCTAGTGAAGGAAAAAAACTGTATAGAGCCTGTGTGTTGGTTTTTAATAAGAAAATGTTAGAAAAGAGAATTAATACACCATGGTGTTCTGTTTTTAAATTGAGAAATGATGTAAAACCTGAATGGAGATAATTGTATAAGCCACCATTGTCTAAAAGGTTTGGTGATATACAATGGATAATTCTGCATGGTGCCATTGCTGTCAATTCTTTTATTTCGAAGTTGAATCCTGAAGTTAATCCTGCTTGCCCTTTTTGTCCTCAAAAGGAGACTGTTTTTCATGCTTTTATGCATTGTTTTAGATTAGAACCTTTGTTTATGAGATTAAGAGAATTGTTTTGTAGGTTTGATGAAACTTTTTGTATTGAGACCTTCATTTTGGGTGTTAAGTACTTTCAGAAAAATCGTTTCACCTGTCAATTGTTGAATTTCATCTTAGGGCAAGCAAAAATGGCTATTAATATTAGCAGGAAAAACAGAGTGGAACAAGAGGGTAGCAATGATGTAAACGTGTGTTTTTTAACTTTGGTCAAATCGAGAGTTTTGATTGATTTTAGGTTTTATAAAACTATGAGTGATCTTTCAACTTTTGAATTGATATGGTGCAGTCATGGTGCTTTATGTACAGTTTGTGAAGGTGATTTGTTTTTTTCTTTCTGAAGTTTTCTTTTGGATGGTTTTAATATTGTGAAGAGATATTGTTAACATTTATTGTGAAGAGATACTGTTATTAATTGTAATTAAAGTTTTTTCAAAAATCAATCTCTCTCTCTCTCTCTCTCTCTCTCTCTCTCACACACACACAAACACAGGGGTGTCTTTATCTTAAGCAGTGACTCGTGTATCATGCTGGGTTTTAGTTATGCTTTGTGTTTTGCTGCTTATGATCAGAGTGTTGTTAAATGAACAAATATTTCGTAAGAATTTTAGTTCAAATCTATTCAAAAATAATCCATGAGCTCCTTAGAACAATTAAAAGGGGTTTTAATCTTTTGAGTCACTCTTAAATGCCAATTCTGTCATCTTTTACTCCATCGTGTCCTTTTAAACCTGTTTGACTTTCTTTCTTTTGTTGAACATAAAAGAAGACATCTCTTTGTTTCCCCCTAAATTTAATTAGTGTCAATGGGGTCCAGTGTTGTTTGTCTTCCACAGAAGACAGAAATGCAAAAAGGTTTGGAAAGATATGAGAGTATAAAAATATGACATCGTTTTCATTTTTGGGTGAAAAATACTTTTGGGGTCGCTGATAAACAAAATAGTGTGTTATAGCAGTTAAAACATGCCTCCTCTCTTATCCATCGGTTTTCATCGATTTTGTTTTGCTCACTTCTGTGAGTCAAGAAGTGATTAATTGCATTCCAATAAACTAGATCACCTCTTTTAGAGCATGTCTTCTGACACAATCTCTATAAATAAATATACATTATAGTCTATCGTTTTAGGAAATGGAAAAGGAAACTCAAACATGCAACTTAAAGGGATTGTTCAGCCAGAATGAAAATTCTGTCTTATCAAGGCACTAAACGAGTTATCTAGTAGTACGATTTATCTCTGTAATGAAAGTGAATGGTGACCATGGCTGTTCTTGGTCCCAATCTACTTTCATTACACTGAAAATAGCAGCTTGGACATGCTAACAACAGATTTTTCTTTTTAGGTGAATTCTTTCTTATATGCTTAAGCAACTTGAGCATGAGGTGTCTGGTTAGTCCACAGTCAGGTAAAGTATGGAGACGAAGCATGCTCAGGGGTCTGGTTAGTCCACAGTCGTGATGTATGAAGCATGCTCAGGGGTCTGGTTAGTCCACAGTCGTGATGTATGAAGCATGCTCAGGGGTCTGGCTCTGTTGGCTCCAGCCGCTGTACCTGAAGCATGCGTTCCTGCTCTCGCTGCCAGCTCTCCTGACGCTTGCGCTCTTCCTCAGGACTCCAAGAAAAGTGTTCACCGCGCTTCACCAGATTCAGCACCTAACCGTACCGTACGCAATGACACGCACAAGCGCCGCACAACACCACAAACAGTGAGCAAGAGATTCCCCTGAAGCAGCGAGACTAGCTGTTCTACTAGAGCTGGCGGATGTGAAAACACAAGGACAAAAATGGGGACATTCTGCTGCTTTCCCATCTGGTATAGAATATTCAACTATTTTTCTGTTAAAATGTTGTAAAAATGTAAGTGCAGCTTGTCTCTGTGAGTGGTGCTATTCTTTAATCTTGCTTAAGGATTATGGGTAGAGTGTAGGATTTCACTTGCGGTTTTACAAGCAAGCTATTTTGTAAAAAATAATAATAGTTGAATTCACACTTGTGGCTTCTAGAGGAGCATATACACAGCAAAATCCCCAGAGTTAAAGGTGCTATATGTAACTTTTTCACTCTACTAAAGCATAAAAATACCATAATATGTTTGCATATGTTGAGGAAACATGTGAAGTTTACATACTCGTTTCTCTGAATAACACTTCTACAGCCAGTTATTGTACTTTGAAATGTCTGTTTCCAGGCTGGAATGTTTGTTTTTGTTTTGGTCTGTGATACTGTACGTTGCCAATTTGCCAATTTTCATTGTCCATTTCGCTCGTTCCTGTTGCGTGTCCTCAAACTGGCAACCCGTGTGAGCGCCGTCCAGTCTGAGGAGCAGGAGGCGGGAGAAACGACGGTCTCCGATGTTTTGAATTGGACTGCAGTACCTATTTCGACCACTAGTTGTCATTCTTACAGACTGCACCTTTAAATTAACTCTGCTCAGAGTATATATGGTCCCACTCTAAAGAGTGTTAAAGTAACTCTGAATCAGAGTAACAGTGAATGATAATTAAGTGATTAATTAAGTGATGATTGAGCATTAGTGATGAACACCTGCTGTTAACAAGCAGAATCACTGAAGGAAAGAGAAACAACAAGAACAGAAAAAGAGAAACACAAGAACTACAACTGACTTCAACCACAGCCTAGATGAAATCAGCTGAAGATAAAAGAAGACATTAATTATCTCAAGATCTCAGCAGAGGAGGATTAAACAACTCCGCAAACAGCACTACCAGCTTCACTTATTAATAACCAGTTTGACTTTATTTCTGCCATTCATCTGCAGAAGTTCTTTGTGAGAATTAACAGAGCTTTAGATGTTGATGTTTTATTTAGAAAATGTTTGGTCACCATTATGGTGATCAGTGGCTGCGTTTACACTGACACAAAAAATTATCAAATTTTTCCATATCCGTTCTTAGCCACTTGCAAATGTGGTTTTAAATCAGATACATATCCGATATCTGGACATCCGACCCACTTCTAAACACACATATCCCGTTTGAATTCCAAGCCACTAGAAGGCGAGGACGACACATTTATTCACAAAAATATATTTTTAATGTTGTATTATGAGGCGTGCCTGTATGCACTGGCTCACAGCTTTTTATTGAGGTGGGAACTTTATATTTATCTTTGAAAAGAAAAGAAATTGCACAAACACAGAAACATTCAAGAGCAATTAATGTAAACACAGATATCGGATACCAGTCCTGTCTAAAGTGAATGTAAACAGGCGGGCCAAAAATTGGATATGGTCAAAAGATCGGATCTGTGCATTAAGACTTGCAGATCAGACATTATGTTAATTTTTTTTAGATGCACACAGGCATCAAGAATCAACATAGGAATCTCAACAATGGTGACATGCTTCATGCTGCAATGCATGCTGGGAGCAATGAGTTTTATACTATGATGGCTCCCAGCATGTGGCATGACGCAGGTCACCATGTTGAGATTCATATGCTGATTATTGATGTCTGTGTGTGTCTAAAGATTTTTTCCATAATGTATTTTAAAAATCAAAATTCAGAATGTCTGATCTGTTGCAAGTAAGAATTGTTGGTGAATATAATCTATTAATAAGAAATAACCACTTTTGGTCAGTGATAAGATCAGTGTTCAAAGATGATCAGATGATAATAGTTTTCAGCATCATAAAGTAGAATAAATACTTTATGATGCTGAAAACTATTATTATCTGATCATCTTTGTTTCTGGTTCCCTTTTCAACAAATTATGTATTTTGTTAAACACTGTTATAAAGACCACAAACTCACATAACAAGCCAAGAGTCAATCTGCCGAACTAAAGGAAACACCAAACATTTTCAAGGCAGAAATAAAGTCAAACTGGTTATTAACCCTCTGGGGACCAAGAACGCACCCGTGCATTTTGGCAGATTTTTTTCACATAGCAGAAAAATAGACTTAAACTACTCCATAATTTCTGGTCATACAGAGTTATGAAACATAAAAAAAACTGTTAAATGTCTACTTTTTTATGTGCCCACCTACAATCGAAACAAAATATGGTGCTTTTGTAAAATAAAGAAAATAAACAGGGTGTGCGTTCTGCCTCTCCGTCGCCGTGAACTTTTTTTGTGGAGCACGTCTCTAAACTTAAACAAAACTCAGCGAATACTATTCACCCAGACATGAGCAATATATGTTTATGATCATTTAAGTTTGTGCTTTTAAATGATCTAATTTAAAACTAAAATAAATATTCACTGTTTATGTAATCTATATAAAAAGAGAGAGGTGTCAGCCGTTCTCATTATCGTTCTCGCATCTCATTATTCCGCTAATGTGACACGCCCACGGAGAGCGCGCGCTATTCAAACGCTAATGATCTGAAGCAACACATTGAGACGTGTAAACGCCCATATAAACTCTGTAAACACACTTTATTTAGTCAGATTAATGTACTGTCGTCTTGCGTGGCTGTGAGGAATAATCCTGGGACATTTACCTACCTCAGAACAAGTGCTGGTTTATTTTCACTTCGAGGAGCGAGCTGAGCTGTAAGTGTTTTATTCTTGTGGTTTGTTCTAATCGCGATATGTAATAACGTTTAGTGTCTGTAAACGCAAAAATAGTCTACTGTTTAAATTTTAATCATGTTTCTGTGTGTGTGTGTGTGTGTGACTAGTTTTGGATAGATTATAAAGTTTTAACTCTAAAATAGACATCAAATAAGCTTTTGTTAGCAGTTTCTGCTCATATGTTAAATATATAGTATGTTTTGTCAATAAACTAATCAACTAAGAATAGTGTTTGTTCCAATGCAAGCTATATCAAAATAATGAATCCTTAACTTTGAAATATGTAAGATAAAATGTATTGGCCTACTAAGACATTTATGGAAAAAGACAATTTTCTTTTCAAGATGTTTCCAACTCTAACTTTGAACCAATTCTGTAGAATGGCCAATATAACCTATTTGAACGGGATTTGTTTCCAGGTATGACTAAAAATGTGCTTTTGACTTTCTTTTATATTTTGATTTTATATATATGTATATATATATATATATATATATATATATGTATGTGTGTGTGTGTGTGTGTGTGTGTCTGTGTGTGTGTGTGTGTGTGTGTGTGTGTGTGTGTGTGTGTGTGTGTGTGTGTGTGTGTGTCTGTGTGTGTGTGTGTGTGTGTGTGTGTGTGTGTGTGTGTGTGTGTGTTTGTGTGTGTGTGTGTGTGTGTGTGTATATTGTACTTGCATTCTTTCTTGTGTGACACACCTGAATGAAAGGCTCAATAATATGCGGGTCGTCTTTGTCTTCTCAACCACCTAATTATTCACAATGGGGTTGGGACGTTCACGCCCATTCGCATATTGCCTTGGCTAACAATTGTTTGTTTTTTTCACAATTTAAAAGAATCTATTGTGTTATGTGAATGATTAGAAAGGATGATTTTCAGATCATTTTTAAGCAAAAACTCTAGGCCACAACTTCCATTAGTCAAAAGTCTTGTGGACACATATTTAGTATGTGTTTTGTGGCTTTATTTCAGAAACTTAATTTTTTAGTTTTTTCAATAACCATGCATAAACAATATTCTCTCAAAAATACAAACATGTACATACATGTTGCTCACATATTATGGTAGCCCTGTTTGTGCTAAATAGAGTGTAATTTCACCTGTGCCATTAATATGTTTATAAGCAACTGAAAAAAGCACAAATGTCAGGGCATGCCAAAACATCTCAAGGACCCCAAAAACACCTTGGTCCCCAGAGGGTTAATAAGTGAAGCTGGTAATGCTGTTTGTGGAGTTGTTTAATCCTCCTCTGCTGAGATCTTGAGATAATTAATGTCTTCTTTTATCTTCAGCTGATTTCATCTAGGCTGTGGTTGAAGTCAGTTGTAGTTCTTGTGTTTCTCTTTTTCTGTTCTTGTTGTTTCTCTTTCCTTCAGTGATTCTGCTTGTTAACAGCAGGTGTTCATCACTAATGCTCAATCATCACTTAATTAATCACTTAATTATCATTCACTTTAACTCTGATTCAGAGTTACTTTAACACTCTTTAGAGTGGGACCATATGTACTCTGACCAGAGTTAATTTAACTCTAAGGATTTTGCTGTGTATATGCTTCTCTAGAAGCCACAAGTGTGTACTGGCACTTAACAAAACTTGAATGAGATTTTCAAGTCCGGACTCATTCTGATATGTTTTAAGCCATTTACTTCTGAGCATCAAAGAGACCATTTTAGGAAGATTTGTAATGTACAAACAGTGCTTGTAGAAAAGGAATAGAATAATACCAGATGACAAACAGCCAGAAAATAAACGTCAGACGCTTTAGGGATGAGGAGGAGAGACAGATGAACAGATTTAATTTATATACTTACATTTCCAGCCTTTTCAGTCAAATCTGGAAAATACAATGTAATTTTTAAAACATGCACTTTCAGTGATTTCATGAATTATTCATTTCATTAATTTGGTTAAAAACAAATGACTCAAAACCGATGGGAACTGAGTATGAAATGTAAAAAAAAAACTATTTTACACTATTTTAAGGTGTCATTGTTACAGTGTAATTATATATTTAAGTACTGAGTAATATTAATTAACAACATATACTTACTAGGGTTTGTTTGAGGGTTGAGGGTAAATTGCATGTAAGTATGCATAATTTACTGTTATTACTATGGTAAGTACATGTAACATATGTAAGAAGGACACTGTAAAATAAAGTTCCCTTTCGAGAATCGACACATTGGGGAATGCCTTCGGCATGAAGCGTCTGAAGTCAACTATTCAATCTCGATTGGCGTAGCCTAATCACGTCACTCGTGACGTCGCATGTGACGACGATGCGGAAGCTATAATAGGACGCCGGATCATAAAAGCGTCAGCTTCTGGTCTTCAGCAAGCGTTCTGTGTCAACCTGTTTGTCTTATTTGGTGTTGTCTATCACTCTGAATATATACACAGGTCCTTCTAAAAAAAATTAGCATAATGTGATAAAGTTCATTATTTTCCATAATGTAATGATAAAAATTAAACTTTCATATATTTTAGATTCATTGCACACCAACTGAAATATTGCAGGTCTTTTATTGTTTTAATACTGATGATTTTGGCATACAGCTCATGAAAACCCAAAATTCCTGTCTCAAAAAATTAGCATATCATGAAAAGGGTCTCTAAACGAGCTATTAACCTAATCATCTGAATCAACTAATTAACTCTAAACACCTGCAAAAGATTCCTGAGGCTTTTAAAAACTCCCAGCCTGTTTCATTACTCAAAACCGCAATCATGGGTAAGACTGTCGACCTGACTGCTGTCCAGAAGGCCATCATTGACACCCTCAAGCAAGAGGGTAAGACAGAAAGAAATTTTTGAACAAATAGGCTTTTCCCAGAGTGCTGTATCAAGGCACCTCAGTGGGAAGTCAGTGGGAAGGAAAAAGTGTGGCAAAAAACGCTGCACAACGAGAAGACGTGACCGGACCCTGAGGAAGATTGTGGAAGAAGGACCGATTCCAGACCTTGGGGGACCTGCGGAAGCAGTGGACTGAGTCTGGAGTAGAAACATCCAGAGCCACCGTGCACAGGCGTGTGCAGGACATGGGCTACAGGTGCCGCATTCCCCAGGTCAAGCCACTTTTGAACCAGAAACAGCGGCAGAAGCGCCTGACCTGGGCTACAGAGAAGCAGCACTGGACTGTTGCTCAGTTTTGCATGTCATTCGGAAATCAAGGTGCCAGAGTCTGGAGGAAGGCTGGGGAGAAGGAAATGCCAAAATGCCTGAAGTCCAGTGTCAAGTACCCACAGTCAGTGATGGTCTGGGGTGCCATGTCAGCTGCTGGTGTTGGTGCACTGTGTTTTATCAAGGGCAGGGTCAATGCAGCTAGCTATCAGGAGATTTTGGAGCACTTCATGCTTCCATCTGCTGAAAAGCTTTATGGAGATGAAGATTTCATTTTTCAGCACGACCTGGCACCTGCTCACAGTGCCAAAACCACTGGTAAATGGTTTACTGACCATGGTATTACTGTGCTCAATTGGCCTGCCAACTCTCCTGACCTGAACCCCATAGAGAATCTGTGGGATATTGTGAAGAGAAAGTTGAGAGACGCAAGACCCAACACTCTGGATGAGCTTAAGGCTGCTATCGAAGCATCCTGGGCCTCCATAACACCTCAGCAGTGCCACAGGCTGATTGCCTTCATGCCACGCCGCATTGAAGCAGTCATTTCTGCAAAAGAATTCCCGACCAAGTATTGACTATTGAGTGCATAACTGAACATAATTATTTGAAGGTTGACTTTTTTTTGTTGTATTAAAAACACTTCTTTTATTGGTCGGATGAAATATGCTATTTTTTTGAGACAGGAATTTTGGGTTTTCATGAGCTGTATGCCAAAATCATCAGTATTAAAACAATAAAACACCTAAAATATTTCAGTTGGTGTGCAATGAATCAAAATTATATGAAAGTTTAATTTTTATCATTACATTATGGAAAATAATGAACTTTATCACAATATGCAATTTTTTTTAGAAGGACCTGTATATCATGGCGAACAATAAGGAGAAACTATTCAGTCAGTGTGTGTAATTTGTCTGGGAGCGGAGCATGCACAGGCAGCGCTCGAGGGCGCTGTCTGTGCAAACTGTTTTTTATATGAAAGAGCTCCGCTCGCGTTTGAGCCTGTTCAATCAAATAGATCAGGCTCGCGTTTCCAGTGCATCAGGTCTCGCGGCTGTCGAGGCAGCGCACCGCTTGTATGCATGGGATTCGCACGTGGGGCTGGCATATAATACTGAGACGGTTGCAACCCTTGCTCAGTGTTTATTTACCAGCTCCACTGGTCTCGCGCACGGTTCGGAAGCCCGCGCTGTGGCTTCTTCTGACCGTGTTAAAGACCCGGTGTTTGATTTATCTGGGTCCGAGGAGTTAGATATTCTCAACACAGGTTCGCCATATTCCCGTTATGAAAAAAAAAAAAGAGGAGTTGCTGGAGGTTGTAACCAGGGCAGTGGCTAAATTAAATGTTGAATGGCCATTTAATAAGCAGGAAGCGAATAAGAAAAATAAAATGAATGAGCGCTTCCTGCAGACCCAGTCACAATTTTCGTGTCAGAGCCTTCCCTTTTTCACTGATCTCCATACTGAGGTGTCGAGATCGTGGAAAATCCAAGTTCATCTTAATTATTTTCCCCCATGTATATATTTACATCTATTAGCGAATCTAATAAGAATGGTTAGGAGGTGATGCCTCGGGTAGAGGAATATTTAGTTTAATATTTTCTCCCCGACATTGCGTCACCCATGATAGCTCAGACACTTCCCTCCAAATCTCGTACATCGAATTTGTTAGGGAAAGCATATATGGCGGTGGGTCAAGCCAGTGCATGCCTACACACGATGGGGTTATTACAGGCATACCAGGCTGAACTCCTCAAAGAGGTGGATGATAACTGGGAGGTTTCACTCAAAGGCATTACTGAATTTCATGGAGTGGCTGACTTATCTCTCTGTATTATTAAAGAGACGGCCCGTGCCATTGGCCGTTCTATGGCAGCACTAGTCGTCTCAGAGAGACATTTATGGCTATATCGCTTGGGGATCGGGGAGAAGGACAGGGCCTTCCTTCTCGATGCCCCCCTTTCGCCTTCTGGCCTCTTTGGCGACGTGGCAAGAACCGTTGTCGAGAGGCTTCAGGAGGCAGAGCGACAATCAGATATCCCCAGTTGTCAGTCCAGGTCTCATGGGGTTGCTGCCAGGGGGCAGCCTCATGGGACAGCCGCCAGCTCCTTGTATTTTTGGAGAAGGTTGCCTCTTATGCTATTCCATATAAGGCTTGGGGCCAGAGGAAACATTCTCGCACAAAGCCCTCCATAACGAAGACAGGTCTGAGAACTGTCTCTCGGGTTAAAATGGCCTTGACCAAGAGGTCTTGTCGTAACACGTGGACCCTTATGGGCGTTCCCCCAGGAGGGCGAGTACAAGAGTCTCGCCCCCTTATGCAGCTCTTAGGAAATCGATGTTTGCTTCCCGCCGCCGATGGCGCCTCGGGACACATCGGCTTCCAGCGAACACAAATCGCAGTGTCCGCCCAGAGACGTTGCGGCCCTGTCGAGTTCGCCGCCTCTCAGGAGGTGTGTAGAGAGCATATTTCGGTTAGTTCCTGCCAGTTAGCTGGTTCAGGTCACCGAAGCCGTTTGGAAATTTATTGTCGAGGCCAGTTTTGAGGGACTGGTCCCCATAATGGCATATCTAGACACCCCGAGGGGAGCTAATATAAAAAATATTATCTACTAGGGGTGGTTCACAAGTTGGCCAGCCCCGACCAGGGTCGGTTCTTGGAACAGGAAGTCTAGTCCCTCTTAACACAGGAGACCTCAACGTGGGCTCTTCTTTGGTTACGGGAGCCTGGGTTCTACAGCCGGCACTTCATAGTTCCTGTGAAGGGAGGGGGAGTTAGGCCTGGTTATATGGATCTCAGCGTACTGGATCAACCTCCGAGGGGGTTTAGATTCAAGATACCGAATGTCAGTCAAACCAGCTCCGAGGACTGGTCTGTCGTGATAGATCCACAAGCTCCTTAACTCCTCATTCCCTTCTAACCCCATCACAGGAAGTTTCCGAGATTCGCTTTTGGGGGGAAAAGCTTATCAATATACGGTTCTTCCTTTCGGCCTAGCCTTATCTCCTCGCACCTTTACTAAATGTATGGATGCTGCCCTTGCTCCATTGAGACTTCAGGGGATCCGTATTCTAAATCATATAGATGACTGGCTCATTCTGGCTCAGTCAGAAGAACTGGCGATTCAACATCGAGATGTTGTTTTGCGTCATCTGAGGTGCTTGGGGTTGACACTCAATGTGAAGAAAAGTTCCTTAACTCCTTTTTCAGAGGACTACGTTCCTGGGAGTAGAGTGGGACTCAGTCACGATGCGGGCACAATTGTCTCCTGTTCGTATAAATACTATTTTAACCACAATAAAGAGTATTAGGTTAGGCTAGGCCATCACTGTCAAACACTTTCAAAGAGTTTTTTGGGCCTCATGGCTGCAGCTTCCATCGTAAGTCCTTTTGGTCTGCTCCGCATGAGGGTCATACAGGGATGGCTCAGGACCACGGGGTTTCTCCGCTGGGGAACCCCTTTCGCATGATCAGAGTTACGCGCAGATGCCTTCGTGCTCTTGTCATGTGGAAGAAACCATGGTTCCTGTCTCAAGGCCCGGCTTCGGGAGCACCATGTCAGAGAAAAACTTTGACTACAGATGCGTCCCGCAGAGCCTGGGGTGCGGTTATGGAGGACCGTTACACCCGAGGTACTTGGAAGGACCATCATCTCTCATGGCATATTAATCGCTTGGAGATGTTGGCCGTATTCTTTGCCCTAAAGCACTTCCTTGTAGACCTCAGAGGCCATCATGTTCTCATTAGGACTGACAATATGTCGGTGGTCTCTTATATCAACTGCCAAGGAGGCCTGAAATCACGCCCTCTTTCTAGACTGGCGCATCAGATTCTTCTATGGTCCCAGGATAAATTTCTCTCTGTTAGATCCATTTATGTTCCTGGGGTTGATAATGTGGGAGCAGATATCCTGTCGAGGCAGGGGTTGAGGCCCGGGGAATGGCGGCTCCACCCTGAAGTAGTTGAGCTTATATGGAGAGAGTTTGGCCGAGCGGAGGTTGACCTGTTCGCTTCTCATGAGAACACTCATTGCCCGCTCTGGTACTCTCTCTCACATCCAGCTCCTTTGGGCCTGGATGCCATGGTACAGATGTGGCCAAGGTCACGTCTGTACGCTTTCCCCCCGATCGCTCTGCTCCCTGGGGTTCTGGAAAGGGTCAGGAGGTACGGCGTGAGTTTACTCCTTGTAGCTCCGTACTGGCCGGCCCGAATTTGGTTTCTTGGACCTTATAAGTCTCCTGGAGAGTCCTCCCTGGCGAGTCCCTATTAGGAGAGATCTTCTTTCCCAGGCCGGTGGTACAATATTTTATCCACGGCCGGAGTTATGGAGACTATGGGTCTGGCCCCTGAGGGGGACCAACCCATGAATAGGTTGCCCTTTCCATCGAGGTGGTTAGGTCATCCATTCTAGAAACCCACTCTACTAGGAACTCAATATTTTTAAGAGGTTAGGTACGGCATTGAACCCAGTTAAATACTGCCCACTGGCTTCAGTACTGGCGTTCCATCCTGTTCTCTAATGGGACCTCCCGTTCATGCTTAGGGCCTCTGTGGCGGCCTTAGTGCCCTCCGCAAGCTTTTAAGGGTGAGCTCGTAGGGACATTCCCACAAAAAACAAAACAAAAAAAACATGTTCCTGTAGATTGGAGGATGAATCCTGTCATCTAGCCTATTGGCATCAGGCTGACGGGTTATCCCAGGCACCCGTCATGTCCTGTGGATGAGTTATATGAGAATATATATAAGAATCTTGAGTCTGCTTCTTGTTCGTCCTACTCCCTGGAAGAGCGGTGGCGTTGCCCCCTCTTACTTGATGACGCGGCAGCCACTCTACTTTATTTCTGCCTCGACACTGAGGTGCCTGCAGGCAATATCATGATTCTCCGGGTATTCATCATATAAGAATCTATTTGAGTCTGCTTCCTGCTCGTCCTGCTCCCTGGAAGAGTGGTGGTGCTGCCCCCTCTTACGTGATGACGCGGCAGCCACTCTACTTTATTTCTGCCTTGACACTGAGGTGCCCGTAGGCAGTATCATGATTCTTCAGGTAATCCATCCTCCATCGCATGTGTCGGATGGTCAAGGTCGTAGCCTGGGAGGCCCCTATGTTAGGTCTCGGGCTGGTAGGAGTTAGATCTATCTAGATATGTATCAAGGGCTAGGAGCTATCCCCCTTTTTTCAATTAGACAGTTGGTTATCTACGGAAACCTCTCATAACTGATGTACGAGGTGCGCTCTTGCCTTCACCTCTCATCTAATATTTCTTTACTGTCTGGGGTTCCCATCCATGGGGTCCGTTGAGCCACCGGCTCCAGACCTCCCCTTCTTACACCAAATCTTATGATAATCTTGTGCCAGATGCTTCACACCAGGGCGTATTCTCTCAGTGTGGCGCAGTGGGCATTTCGTTCCCCAATGTGTCGATTCTCAACGCAGCGCGAGTTCCCTCGAAAGGGAATGTTTCGGGTTACGCTGCGTCCCTCGGCCACACTTTTCGCGCTCCTGAGAACGACTTGCTTCGACCAATCAGAAGCTGACGCTGTTATGATCCGGCGTCCTTTTGTAGCTTCCGCATCGCCGTCACATGCGACGTCACGAGTGATGTGATTAGGCTACGCCAATCGAGATTGAATAGTTGACTTTAGACTTCTCAGGGAACGAGGGTTACAGTCGTAACCCGAGACGTTTTTCTTAATTATTATATAAAGAAGAGTTTGATCCAGATTTGAGGTGTGGAAGATTAACCAAACACTGAAGCAATTCAGTGACATAAGATCAATCAGAGATACAGTACATTGAATATTTCATATGAAAGTTCAATAACACAAGTTTATCTGCTCATTCAGATGTTGATATAACATGTTCATGTCTCTCAGAGTGTGTGTGTGACAGTGATGTGCGTTTAGACTCATGAACTGCAGCCAATTTGGGATAACTGGACAACGATGTTAACTGAGCACTGATGTCCAGCTCTAAACGCCGGCCCAACGAGAGTCCTGAACTGTCTATATCTGATGGAGAGGATAAACACTCGAGGCTGATGTTGGCCAGCTCTAAACGCCAGTCCTGAACTGTCTATATCTGGTGGAGAGGATAAACACCCGAGGCTGGTGTTGGCCAGCGCTGGTCTTCAGCGACACTCACCTGGTCTGGTTCTGCATGATTCTGCGGCGGATGCTTCTGATAGATTCTGTGGGATCTCCGTTACTAGTTCATTGACCTTCAACCAAATCCAAAGAAATCAAGGTCAAATACATACATTCTTCTATTAATCATAATATGCATGTCACGTTTGTGTTTGATCTTCGGTTTTCTGTATTAGTCACATGTCTTTTGTTTTCCCGCCACTCTTCTGTTACCATGCCAACCATCATTAGTTCACCTTCATCACCTGTGTCTTGTTAATTACCTTCATCAATCGCACCTGGTTTATGTTCATCAGTATCTGTATTTAGTTTGTTCAGTTCAGTCAGTCTTGGTCTGTAGTTAAAGTTATATGGATGTGTTTAGTGTGAGTTTCTGCCCGTCATTCTGCCTGCCTGTCTGTACCTGTGAGTTTCTGGAAGTAAACGTCTTGTATTGGAGCTTTTCGTCATTGAGCCCTTATTCACACACGCTACACCGTGACAGAACTACAGACCAAGAAAATGGACATTCCCGCTGTGGCTCTCCTCTGCCTGGAACAGTACAACCGTTCCCTGGAATCCCACACCAGGGATTTTCTGGAGTTGGCGTGCCTCACTCACTATTCTGACCACTCGCTGTGTGTTTTCTACATCGCCAGCCTCAGCGAGCGATCCAGGGCACGCCTTCCAGGGAGCGGTCCACGCCACGATTTCGCCGCATGTGTTGAGTGGGTGTTGGTAAATAACGAATCTACATTTACCATCGACCTCGTAGAGCCTGCCAGCACCCCTCAACGCATTCCAGAGTCTCGTCCCGCCGAGACTCTTCCACCACTGGTCCCGTCCAGTCCAGCCGAGCCTTCACCGCTGGTTCCGTCCAGTATCAAGCCCTCTTCGATGCTGGTTTTGTCCAGTCCAGTCAAGCCCGCACCGCTGGTTCCGTCCAGTCCAGAGCTTCCTGCACCGCTGGTCCAGCCAGAGACCGTCCAGCCAGAGACCGTCCAGCCAGAGACCGTCCAGCCAGAGACCGCCCAGCCCTCTTCGCCGCTGGTTCCGTCCAGCACCGAGCTTCCTTCGCCGCTGGTCCCGTCCAGCCCAGAGCTTCCTTCGCCGCTGGTTCCGTCCAGCCCCGAGCGATACCCGCTGGTTCTGGCCAGTCCTGAGCCAGCGCCTCCTGCCTGGTCCGTCGAACCTGAAAATTCTGTTCCCCAGTCTGTCTATGAAGTCCCACCCAGCCTCCCTCTCCCGCCTCCTCTCGTCTGTCTTCAGCCTTCCTCATTTCCTCTGCCTCCTGTCAGCTCTGTCACTCACCCTCTAGAATTCAGTGGATTAGTGGGCTCGCTGTGGGGCTTCCAGTCCCCAGCATCATCCTGGACTGTGGATTCCTGGGTTCCGCCTTCAGCTGCTTCGTCCAGGATTCCACATCGGCCCATCACTCCACTGTCTCACCCTTGGCTCTTACCTCCCTCAGCTCCACCGTGGTCCTTCAGTTCACCAGTTCCGCCAGGCTCCCTCGTCCCCCCGGATTCGCTTGGGTCCCTCGTCGACCTTCCCTCGCCTCTGGACTTCTCTCCTCTGGCTTCGCCCCGTCCCTTCATCCCCCCGGCTCCTTTGGACTCCTCTCTCCCTTCTGCTCATCCTTTGTCCTCAGTCCCTCTGTCTCCACCGCGCCCTTCAGTACCCCCAGCTACACTTTGGTCGCCTGAGCCTGCGGATTCCCCCGGTCACTCTGAACCCTCTGCTCCACCGTGTCCTAACAAACTTCCGTCTTCTCCCTGTCATTCCCTGTCATCGGTTCCGCCTCTGTCTGTCATCGCCACCAAACCCCTTGCCCTTCAGCCTCCGTGGCTCCTCCCTCCATCGGCTCCACCATGGCTCGTCAGTCTGTCTAGTCTTCCTTCTGCCTGGTACCTGCCTGTCTTCAGCCCTGTGCCTAGCCCTGTTTCCAGCCCGTCGCCTGCTCCGCTTCCTCCCAAACCTCCTCCATCTCCTTTACGGCGCGAGGTCGCGCCTCCCGGTAGGGGGGGGAGTAATGTCACGTTTGTGTTTGATCTTCGGTTTTCTGTATTAGTCACATGTCTTTTGTTTTCCCGCCACTCTTCTGTTACCATGCCAACCATCATTAGTTCACCTTCATCACCTGTGTCTTGTTAATTACCTTCATCAATCGCACCTGGTTTATGTTCATCAGTATCTGGATTTAGTTTGTTCAGTTCAGTCAGTCTTGGTCTGTAGTTAAAGTTATATGGATGTGTTTAGTGTGAGTTTCTGCCCGTCATTCTGCCTGCCTGTCTGTACCTGTGAGTTTCTGGAAGTAAACGTCTTGTATTGGAGCTTTTCGTCTTTGAGCCCTTATTCACACACGCTACACCGTGACAATGCATATGTAGTATTTTTGTCTGAGAGCAGAACCTGTGCAGAAGAGTCCGCCTGAATCACGGTCTGCAGAGAGTCACTCACACACGTCTCGTCTGTCTGCTCTTCATCTGTGCAGGAACACGAGGTATTGACTAAGAATATATACAGGAATATGAGAAGAAGTAGGTGAACTGGAATAATAATATCTCATAAGAGCTGGCCAACCTGTAGCAGTGTCGTCTGGTTTCATCTCCAACACTTCTGTGGGGTTATCAGTGACCTGCGGGACCGCCGCTCCTTCAGTCTGTACAGTATTACACACTCTTTACTGAACATAACCTCTCTGACCAAAAGTGATGTATGGAGGGGATAATTGTTTTCGATTAAACCATAAAAATATGAGGATTTTTTACACTTATTTTAAATATGAGGGAAGAACGAAACACTAAACTCGTTTAAGGTATGACAAATTAGGCAAAAAAGTCAAACTACAGCTAAAGGTTTAATTTTACTACGCAAGGAAAAAAAAGTGAAAAAAAAAGCTGACAGGACAAAAGCAAACATTGACTACAACATAACTTGTTATTATATTTTGCTAGTTCTATCTTGTTTTATAATTTCTTTGTATGACAGCCTGGACAAAAATCATGTCACACAATTTGCACAACTTAAGCAATCAACTGAAAGCACAACTACACATCATGCTAACAGAACAGATTATCTCTAATATCAGTCCTGTCCTCACCTGTGTGTGTTCCCTGTGGATCTCCCAGCGCTCCGGTGTGTGTGTGGATCCAGCGGACACATCGGGATCTGTGAGGTCTGAGTCTGTGTGCTGGAAGGGAGACGAGAGGAACTGCAGACAGTCTTCTTCCCTCTCTCTGTTTCTTCCTCCCTTCTGCTCATCATCCTCCCTTTCTCCATTCACTCGCACCATTTCATTCTGAGAGACAGAGAGAGAGAGAGATTCAATATACAATGTAAACACTCATTTCCCTCATATTCTTCATCAGTTTTTCTCATATTCTTGTAAATGTAAATATCTTTAAAAAAAAATATATATATACTTGAAAAGCGAAATTGTGTTTGACAATAAAGGAGCAATTTAAAGTCAAAATGAAATAAAAATGGACAATTATTTTTCTTTAATGGAATATTTCAGTATTTGTTCTAAATGATGTATGGGTGCACATCATTATTGTTTATAATAATCTCGACTCAGAATAAGTTCCTCTTACAACATCTCTGCTCTTCTCTGATGCTGGGGGCGGGGCTATAACCTGTCACTCACATGAGATCAGCCAATAGCAAACCACAACCATCCAATCAATTCCCCACAGACACAATCAAGCCCCGCCCACATTCGTTCTTGTTCCAGAAGCGTTTCTCTTGATATACGACATTATAGGGAACAAAATACTAGTGTAACTTCAGTTTCATGCCAACTTTAGGTTTGCTAACGCTACTCACTTTATCTTGCTAAAGTATAATCTTATCATACTCTTTCATGGATTAATAAATTAATTAGGGCTGATTGCATATAATGTAAACCCTATTTAATTTAGTTAGATTTATACTTGATTTATGCAAAAAAGTATGACAATATTAACTTACTAATATATACTCTAAAATTAAGTCTTAATATGTCATGCAATTTCGCTTTCCAAGAAAATATACACTATTTTATCATTTTTACTGGAAAAAAAATCTACTGTTTATAAAATAATTTTAATTTGCATTTAAAATACATGATTAGTTAGTTTATCGCAATCGCATCACTGTGCTTTGCAGTCAGTCAACCGCTCCTAAAAGGAAAACGCTTAATAAACATGCTAAATAAAGTGTTAATGACAATGCCACGTCACTGCAGACAGCTAGGGAATATGTTTATATGATCACTAGCTCAGCATATAAAACGAGTTGATGTAAAGTCCCTACCACGGCACAAAAAAAAGGTATGTGCGTGTTTTAGATGTGCTGATCTGCTCTCTGTGTGTTTTTGTCCTTCTATGGAGCACTTCACATAGAAAGAACCCATTCACAAACACACTCACACACTCATACCTAGGGAACACTAGCACCCATTCAACACATGCCCACTTAACTCACAACACTCATTCCAGCCAGCAGAGGGCAACATCTGCCATTGTTGGTGTATCCTGCAACACTTCACTTCTCTTAGGAGATGAACGGAGCACATTCCTACAGCACTGAATTATCCAGGATATTTCTACTCAGTGTGGGTGGTGTGGCAGAGCGCATGGCTGATGGAGTCAACCTTATATTGCTCAGAGGCTCTTCTACAGCTCTGCAGACAGAGCTCTTCGTCAAAACTGTTCATATTTCTCTTAAAGGAAACAAAAATAGACTTAAATGAGGCGATCCTCGACACATTTGACATTTAAAATTGCTAAATTAATGTGGATAACATAGCTCAGATCACTTGTTCTTGAGAGAATGATGAGAAATATCCATAGAGTTTATACTGAAATGTTTGACTTTTGGTTGCAAATTTCTGATCTCTTCTGAAACTCTAGAGACACATGTTGCTGAGGTCTATTTATAAGGGATACAAATAAATAAATAAATAAAAATTCCTAAGAAATTTCTCACTTTGCTCTCCATTTAATCTCATTGCAGTCAAGGAGAAACAAGTAAGAAATTACAGAAAAAATCTCCAGGTGACAGTCCCTATTATAAGTTATAAGAATGTTGCGTAGTGACATTGTGTGACTTTTACTCACATTTAAAAAAACCTCTGTTTTCAGTCCTAAACTATAGACATTATATCAGTTATGAAACCTCTTAAAAAGTAAACACTGCTATGAGAAATGTCGATTCTTGTGCTGTCTGTACCTTAGCAGTGCTACTTCTGCTCTGTCTGTAAGGTCTCGGAGCCAGAGAGGGCGCTGTCGCATGCGAGCGAGATGGACCTGAAACACACTCCATATCTCTGACGTTTCCCTGCCCTGTGCTGTATCCCGTCTCCGGCTCTGTGCTGTATCCCGCCAATGTCTCCGTCACCATCTCTGTGCTGTATCCCGTCACCGGCTCTGTGCTGTATCCCGTCACCGGCTCTGTGCTGTATCCCGTCACCATCTCTGAGCTGTATCCCGTCACCGGCTCTGTGCTGTATCCCGTCACCATCTCTGAGCTGTATCCCGTCACCGGCTCTGTGCTGTATCCCGTCACCATCTCTGAGCTGTATCCCGTCACCGGCTCTGTGCTGTATCCCGTCACCGGCTCTGTGCTGTATCCCGTCACCGGCTCTGTGCTGTATCCCGTCACCGGCTCTGTGCTGTATCCCGTCACCGTCTCTGAGCTGTATCCCGTCACCGGCTCTGTGCTGTATCCCGTCACCGTCTCTGAGCTGTATCCCGTCACCGGCTCTGTGCTGTATCCCGTCACCATCTCTGAGCTGTATCCCGTCACCGGCTCTGTGCTGTATCCCGTCACCATCTCTGAGCTGTATCCCGTCACCGGCTCTGTGCTGTATCCCGTCACCTGTGCTTCCACCGAGGATATGAACTTGGCTGCGGGGAGAGACTGCTGCCTCAGGTACTGCAGCGGGTTTGAGCAAGCACTGAAAGAGCAGGAGATGTCTGAAGAGACGGGGAACGAGGAGTGACGAGTTGGGTCGGCCGACACACTCCTCTCCAGGAGCTTGGGGAGTTTGAGGCGCTCGAGAACGGCCTCACTGATGGTGAAGCGCAGGGCATAACGCTGCAGCACAGATGCTGCTTCCTCTGGTGTGCGGGCGCTCCGGTAGGCTTCATGCAACTCCTGTTCACGACGCTCCCTAGTGGAGAAATTGAAATAGTGTAGAGACGTATTATTGTATCAATGATTGAGATTCGCTAGCTTACAGCAGTTTTAGTTTGATAACAATTTTGTAACAATACTGACTGTAAAGGCACTGACAGTAATACCGCTTACAGGAACATCCCTGATATAAATACCATTTAAAGTAACTTCACTTATGTTTACGCCACTGACATTAACCGCACTCATGGTAACAGCACCAACAGTAACATCACTGACAGTAATGCCACCAACAGTAACATCAATTTTATTAATGCCACTGACAGTAACTGCACTCACGAAAACCTCACAGACAGTAACACTACTGACAGTAATACCACCAACAGTAACACCACTTACGTCCATTGACAGTAACTTCACTGACAGCGAGACAACATACAGTAATGGCATTGACAAAAATAAGAACTGACAGTAACATTACAGACTTTAAAGCCATTGACAGTAATGCTACTCACAGTAACATCACTGACAGTAACATTACCCAAAGTAAGCTTTGTTAGCTCTGCTACCAAGAGTAACACCACTTCTAGTTAAGTCAATTGTCAGTAACTCCACCGACAGTAACTGCACTGACAGTATCAACATGCAGTAACGACATTGACAGTATTTGTACTGACAGAAATGCCACCAGAGTAACATCATCATTGACAGTGACGCTACTGACAGAAACTTCATCACAGTAACAGCACTACTAGTAACATCACTTACGGTAACACCCCTAACAGTAACACCCCTAATAGTAACAGCACTGCCAGTAACATCACTTACGGTAACACCCCTAAAAGTAACAGCACTAACAGTGACATCACTTATGGTAACACCCCTAAAAGTAACAGCACTAACAGTGACATAACTTACGGTAACACCCCTAAAAGTAACAGCACTAACAGTGACATCACTTACAATAACACCCCTAACAGTAACAGCACTAACAATGACATCACTTACGGTAACACCCCTAACAGTAACAGCACTAACAGTAACATCACTAACAGTAACATCACTTACGGTAACACCCCTAACAGTAACAGCACTAACAGTAACATCACTTACGGTAACACCCCTAAAAGTAACAGCACTAACAGTAACACCCCTAACAGTAACACCCCTAACAGTAACAGCACTGCCAGTAACATCACTTACGGTAACACCCCTAAAAGTAACAGCACTAACAGTGACATCACTTATGGTAACACCCCTAAAAGTAACAGCACTAACAGTGACATCACTTACGGTAACACCCCTAACAGTAACAGCACTAACAGTGACATCACTTATGGTAACACCCCTAACAGTAACAGCACTAACAGTAACATCACTTACGGTAACACCCCTAACAGTAACAGCACTGCCAGTAACATCACTTACGGTAACACCCCTAAAAGTAACAGCACTAACAGTGACATCACTTATCGTAACACCCCTAAAAGTAACAGCACTAACAGTGACATCACTTATCGTAACACCCCTAAAAGTAACAGCACTAACAGTGACATCACTTATCGTAACACCCCTAAAAGTAACAGCACTAACAGTCACATCACTTACGGTAACACCCCTAACAGTAACAGCACTGCCAGTAACATCACTTACGGTAACACCCCTAACAGTAACAGCACTAACAGTAACATCACTTACGGTAACACCCCTAACAGTAACAGCACTGCCAGTAACATCACTTACGTTAACACCCCTAAAAGTAACAGCACTAACAGTGACATCACTTATCGTAACACCCCTAAAAGTAACAGCACTAACAGTGACATCACTTACAGTAACACCCCTAACAGTAACAGCACTGCCAGTAACATCACTTACGGTAACACCCCTAAAAGTAACAGCACTAACAGTGACATCACTTATCGTAACACCCCTAAAAGTAACAGCACTAACAGTGACATCACTTACAGTAACACCCCTAACAGTAACAGCACTAACAGTCACATCACTTACGGTAACACCCCTAACAGTAACAGCACTGCCAGTAACATCACTTACGGTAACACCCCTAACAGCAACAGCACTAACAGTAACATCACTTACGGTAACACCCCTAACAGTAACAGCACTGCCAGTAACATCACTTACGGTAACACCCCTAAAAGTAACAGCACTAACAGTGACATCACTTATCGTAACACCCCTAAAAGTAACAGCACTAACAGTGACATCACTTACGGTAACACCCCTAACAGTAACAGCACTGACAGTGACATCACTTATGGTAACACCCCTAACAGTAACAGCACTAACAGTAACAGCACTAACAGTAACATCACTTACGGTAACACCCCTAACAGTAACAGCACTGCCAGTAACATCACTTACGGTAACACCCCTAAAAGTAACAGCACTAACAGTGACATCACTTATCGTAACACCCCTAAAAGTAACAGCACTAACAGTGACATCACTAACAGTCACATCACTTACGGTAACACCCCTAACAGTAACAGCACTGCCAGTAACATCACTTACGGTAACACCCCTAACAGTAACAGCACTAACAGTAACATCACTTACGGTAACACCCCTAACAGTAACAGCACTGCCAGTAACATCAGTGACATCACTTATCGTAACACCCCTAAAAGTAACAGCACTAACAGTGACATCACTTACAGTAACACCCCTAACAGTAACAGCACTGCCAGTAACATCACTTACGGTAACACCCCTAAAAGTAACAGCACTAACAGTGACATCACTTATCGTAACACCCCTAAAAGTAACAGCACTAACAGTGACATCACTTACAGTAACACCCCTAACAGTAACAGCACTAACAGTCACATCACTTACGGTAACACCCCTAACAGTAACAGCACTGCCAGTAACATCACTTACGGTAACACCCCTAACAGTAACAGCACTAACAGTAACATCACTTACGGTAACACCCCTAACAGTAACAGCACTGCCAGTAACATCACTTACGGTAACACCCCTAAAAGTAACAGCACTAACAGTGACATCACTTATCGTAACACCCCTAAAAGTAACAGCACTAACAGTGACATCACTTATCGTAACACCCCTAAAAGTAACAGCACTAACAGTGACATCACTAACAGTCACATCACTTACGGTAACACCCCTAACAGTAACAGCACTGCCAGTAACATCACTTACGGTAACACCCCTAACAGTAACAGCACTAACAGTAACATCACTTACGGTAACACCCCTAACAGTAACAGCACTGCCAGTAACATCACTTACGGTAACAGCCCTAACAGTAACAGCACTAACAGTGACATCACTTATGGTAACACCCCTAACAGTAACAGCACTAACAGTCACATCACTTACGGTAACACCCCTAAAAGTAACAGCACTAACAGTGACATCACTTACGGTAACACCCCTAAAAGTAACAGCACTAACAATGACATCACTTACGGTAACACCCCTAAAAGTAACAGCACTAACAATGACATCACTTACGGTAACACCCCTAACAGTAACAGCACTAACAGTAACATCACTTACGGTAACACCCCTAACAGTAACAGCACTGCCAGTAACATCACTTACGGTAACACCCCTAAAAGTAACAGCACTAACAGTGACATCACTTACCGTAACACCCCTAAAAGTAACAGCACTAACAGTGACATCACTTATCGTAACACCCCTAAAAGTAACAGCACAAACAGTGACATCACTAACAGTCACATCACTTACGGTAACACCCCTAACAGTAACAGCACTGCCAGTAACATCACTTACGGTAACACCCCTAACAGTAACAGCACTAACAGTAACATCACTTACGGTAACACCCCTAACAGTAACAGCACTGCCAGTAACATCACTTACGGTAACACCCCTAAAAGTAACAGCACTAACAGTGACATCACTTATCGTAACACCCCTAAAAGTAACAGCACTAACAGTGACATCACTTACAGTAACACCCCTAAAAGTAACAGCACTAACAGTGACATCACTTATCGTAACACCCCTAAAAGTAACAGCACTAACAGTGACATCACTTATCGTAACACCCCTAAAAGTAACAGCACTAACAGTGACATCACTTATCGTAACACCCCTAAAAGTAACAGCACTAACAGTGACATCACTTATCGTAACACCCCTAAAAGTAACAGCACTAACAGTGACATCACTTATCGTAACACCCCTAAAAGTAACAGCACTAACAGTGACATCACTTACAGTAACACCCCTAACAGTAACAGCACTAACAGTCACATCACTTACGGTAACACCCCTAGCAGTAACAGCACTAACAGTAACATCACTTACGGTAACACCCCTAACAGTAACAGCACTGCCAGTAACATCACTTACGGTAACAGCCCTAAAAGTAACAGCACTAACAGTGACATCACTTATCGTGACACCCCTAAAAGTAACAGCACTAACAGTGACATCACTTATCGTAACACCCCTAAAAGTAACAGCACTAACAGTGACATCACTTACGGTAACACCCCTAACAGTAACAGCACTAACAGTGACATCACTTATGGTAACACCCCTAACAGTAACAGCACTAACAGTGACATCACTTACGGTAACACCCCTAAAAGTAACAGCACTAACAGTGACATCATTTATGGTGACACCCCTAACAGTAACAGCACTAACAGTGACATCACTTACGGTAACACCCCTAAAAGTAACAGCACTAACAGTGACATCACTTATGGTAACACCCCTAACAGTAACAGCACTAACAGTCACATCACTAACAGTGACATCACTTACGGTAACAGCCCTAACAGTAACAGCACTAACAGTGACATCACTTATGGTAACACCCCTAACAGTAAAAGCACTAACAGTCACATCACTTACGGTAACACCCCTAAAAGTAACAGCACTAACAGTGACATCACTTACGGTAACACCCCTAAAAGTAACACCCCTAACAGTAACAGCACTAACAGTAACATCACTTACGGTAACACCCCTAACAGTAACAGCACTAACAGTGACATCACTTATGGTAACACCCCTAACAGTAACAGCACTAACAGTCACATCACTTACGGTAACACCCCTAACAGTAACAGCACTACCAGTGACATCACTTACAGTAACACCCCTAACAGTAACAGCACTAACAGTAACATCACTTATGGTAACACCCCTAACAGTAACAGCACTAACAGTAACATCACTTACGGTAACACCCCTAACAGTAACAGCACTGCCAGTGACATCACTTACAGTAACACCCCTAACAGTAACAGCACTAACAGTGACATTACTTATGGTAACACCCCTAACAGTAACAGCACTAACAGTAACATCACTTACGGTAACACCCCTAACAGTAACAGCACTAACAGTGACATCACTTATGGTAACACCCCTAACAGTAACAGCACTAACAGTCACATCACTTACGGTAACACCCCTAACAGTAACAGCACTACCAGTGACATCACTTACAGTAACACCCCTAACAGTAACAGCACTAACAGTGACATCACTTATCATAACACCCCTAAAAGTAACAGCACTAACAGTAACATCACTTACGGTAACACCCCTAAAAGTAACAGCACTAACAGTGACATCACTTATGGTAACACCCCTAAAAGTAACAGCACTAACAGTGACATCACTTATCGTAACACCCCTAAAAGTAACAGCACTAACAGTGACATCACTTACGGTAACACCCCTAACAGTAACAGCACTACCAGTGACATCACTTATCGTAACACCCCTAAAAGTAACAGCACTAACAGTGACATCACTTACGGTAACACCCCTAACAGTAACAGCACTACCAGTGACATCACTTATCGTAACACCCCTAAAAGTAACAGCACTAACAGTGACATCACTTATCGTAACACCCCTAAAAGTAACAGCACTAACAGTGACATCACTTACGGTAACACCCCTAAAAGTAACAGCACTAACAGTGACATCACTTATCGTAACACCCCTAAAAGTAACAGCACTAACAGTGACATCACTTATGGTAACACCCCTAACAGTAACAGCACTAACAGTGACATCACTTACGGTAACACCCCTAAAAGTAACAGCACTAACAGTGACATCACTTACGGTAACACCCCTAACAGTAACAGCACTAACAGTGACATCACTTACGGTAACACCCCTAAAAGTAACAGCACTAACAGTGACATCACTTACGGTAACACCCCTAACAGTGACATCACTTACGGTAACACCCCTAAAAGTAACAGCACTAACAGTCACATCACTGACGAGAAGCGGCAGGTCTTTAAAATTCGAACACATTATTCTCTATGAGTGTACACACACCAGCGGCGCCATTCGGCGTCTGTCCGCGGCGCCCAGCTACGGCTCAGGACCTTGTTTAAAACCCTGCCGCGCCACAGAGCGCCATTTGCATAGTTTTATATTAAATTTGCATTTATTTGTCTCAAATCGTCGTTAATGTACATGGCTTCACCCTGTGCTGTTTTCACTCAGGTTAGCTAAACGCTAGCTAAATAAATACTATTGTATTATGTGACATAGTTGCCTAGACAACGGATAACGTTACAACAAAATAACAGACTCAACGTGATAGACACTTTTACTTGAGTAACGTTCAAACATCAGCTATTATTCAATGAACATAAAAAAAAAAAAAAAAAATCAAGATAAAACACACATCGTGCAGCTCTTCTACCAGGAGTTGATTCAAAATTGTGCTCGCGCGATTAGAATGTGCGCGTCCGGTGTGCGATACCAGGAGTTGTCCTAGACGTGGCGCAGCGCTGCACTGCGCTTCTCGTCCGGTGTGCGACCCCCTTAACAGCACTAACAGTAACATCACTTATGGTAACACCCCTAACAGTAAACATACTAACAGTAACATCACTTTAGGTAACACGCCTAACAGTAAACATACTAACAGTAACATCACAAACACTAACATCACTTACGGTAACACCCCTAACAGTAACAGTACTAACAGTCACATCACTTATGGTAACACCCCTAAAAGTGACATCACTTACGGTAACACCCCTAACAGTGACATCACTTACGGTAACACCCCTAACAGTGACATCACTGACGGTAACACCCCTAACAGTGACATCACTTACGGTAACACCCCTAACAGTGACATCACTTACGGTAACACCCCTAACAGTGACATCACTTACGGTAACACCCCTAACAGTGACATCACTTACGGTAACACCCCTAACAGTGACATCACTTACGGTAACACCCCTAACAGTGACATCACTTACGGTAACACCCCTAACAGTAACATCACTTACGGTAACACCCCTAACAGTAACTGCACTGACAGTAACATAACATACATTGACACTGACATTTGTAGTGAGTGACACCACTGACAGTAACACTGCTGAGTGTAAAGCCATTGACAGTAAAATCACTGACAGTAACACTATTGACAGTGACACTTCTGAAAGTAACTGTACTCACAGTAAAAGCACTGACAATAACTGCACTTACAGTAAGACTACTGACAGTCATATAGGCTTGCAATGTTGTGCCTATGGCAAAATTCAGTACATTCAGCACCAAGTACTCTGGACTGTTGGACTGTTAAAAAATGAAACAAAAAGTGGAAAGTGTAGATGGAAACAGCAGACATACTTCTCCTCCACTATTTCTCTGTACGTCTTGATGCTTTTTCTTCTCTGTGATCCTCCTCCTCCACTTAACAGTCTCTCCATCATTTTCCTCTCCTCTTCTTTTTTGATCAGGTCCTGAGACACACTCCTTCTGCGACTCTTCCATTTGGCCAAGTCCTGAAACACAATCACACAATTGCAGACACATTCTGAACTCCATATACTGAATGTAACAGGAAACTAGTGAGGAAAGACACGTACGTCCTGCCAGTGGTCTTCTTCCTCTTTCAGCATGTTGTACTGGTTGTGCATGAGCTCATGTCGAACTTGACTATGGGGTGGCAACATAGAGTCTTCCTCACTTCCTCGCATGTCAATCATGCTCACGCTCCTGTTACAGAGAGATATAAGCTCATTGAATCACTGGTACTTTATAAAATTGAATCAGCTGGTTAACCACTGTCAACTTTATTATTAAGCAACCAGTTAAAAAGCAGGGCCAGTGAGTCACAGTGAGCATTTATAATTAGGCAGGTTGTGCCGCCCATAAGCCATGCATCCAAAGAAAGAAGGCCAGAAGTGTGAACAAATGCTGAAAGACACTTTGAAACAACCACTAAATTTAAATTATCTTACAAATGGCAAAAACAAATAGATTTTCATTCTATAAGAAATAATTCTTGGTTTTCTTAAACGAATTTAGCATATTCAAGTATAAAAGTATACATCAGATGCAAGTGTTTTAGCAAACTTAAGTATTAGTTTGTGGATAAAAGGTTTACGTTATATTAGCATCCCATTTAACAAGCAATACAGCCACATCACAAAGAAGTTCACCGGTAGTGTACCAAAACAAAGTGCTGAAAGCACAGCTTGGCACATGCAGACATTAGTGTCAGTCCCTGCAAGAGTGTTTTAACAGCACAGTGTGTTAAAGAGACTTACTCAGGATCATCAAACACACTAGATGAACGGCTGAATCTACAACAGGCAGGACAAAAGAGCACAAAGACAGTGATTTATGAGGACAATGATGACCCACAGATAAAACAAAAAATGACTTAAACCTGTCATTGCATTATGTACAATCTAATTACACAGAATATTTAGCACTGGAAACTCTATCCAAGCAATATTATATATATATATATATATATATATATATATATATATACATTAAAGGGGAATTCCCCAAAAGGGGAAAACCCCTCCAAGATAAAGACCACACACACACACACACACACACACACACACACACTGTGATCTGTTTACCCCTTTGGTCCCCTTCGGTTATGTTTTACCGAAAAATTTTATGTTTTGGTTTTTTAGAAGTTTTTTTACTTCATCCAAATGGTACAAAACTTGGGAAAGGTTTTAGCATTTGCTATGTGAACACAAAAAAATCATGGACGTGATTTTCGAAAATGTTAAATGGTCCTGAAAAATAGTCACACGTGTACTCCTCGAAAACTTCATCTAGTGGAAGCGTTTGGTACTGCGGCCACACACAATCTCACTGAAAGCTCATTTTTTGAGATATCAAGTTCAAATTTGGAAAAATAATTTCAAATGTTTCTATTAATGATTTCTGTGTTTTTTCCACATTATTTTATTACGGGATTATTGTTCATTAATTACATTATAAACAACTTAAAATGTATAATGAGCACATCTTCATGATTTCTTAACATTTGCTTTAGGAAAATCGGATCCTGTGTTTTCATTTTACTTAAAGCCATCAATAATGCATTTATTGAGGTTAGTTACTGTCTTATCATTCACAATAAGTATTTACAAGAACACAACATGGCTATTAACAATATATTCACTTATTTAACAGAAATAAAAGTGAATTACTAAAAAGTCATTGTAACTATAATATAATATCATTATAGCAATGCAGGCTGCATATTTATAAACACATTTCATGGAACCATACAAATAATTAATACTTATAAATCAGTGTATAATGGATTATGAGCATGTGCATGGAAAATTCAAATGCATGACTTATAAGTAATTAAAAATGAGTCTTTATAAATATATTTATAGAATAGTAACATGGAGTATAAATGTATAGTATAAATGAGTATAAGTATAAATGGAGCTATAATTCATTATAAGCATGGGCTTCGTAAAAAGTGTTACCATGTTTTTCTGTTTTACTTCTCCACAGTAATGATTAAAAAATTAAACTAAATATTAAGCTATTAGATTATTATGGAAGAATAATGGTAAGGTGCCAAAACATTTATTACACATTTTCTCTGCTGGCTTGTAGCAGTCACCATACAATCCTCCATACGTGTTCAGTCGGCTTACACGCTGTGTGGACTTAGGCTGGGATCGTGTTGAAGGGACCGTATCCATGTAAAACACCCGTTTATAGACAGAATATGATAAAACAGTCTTGTTTCAATTTCAGTGTTTATCTAACTAACCCCAATACTGTGGGGAATGTCTAAGCTATATTTCATAGCCTCATCAAATTCACCACTTATTGCACTTATCAAAAAGTCAAAAAGATTCTTATAGAAGAGGAGAGCATGAAAGAGAGAGAGAGAAAAGCGCTGGATGTGTGTCAGTGAAAGTGTGGCTTGCGGTCTCGCCACAAGAAACACACAGACACTGAAAATACAGGCCACCCAAAAAACAAACCAATTATAAAGCCTGAAGTATTGTTTATAAATGTAAATATGGCAGTGAATCCGTCCAGCAGAAGAGACCAAAGGAAACAGAGAGATTCCACTGAAAACAGCACTCAAGCTGAAGTTGGGCTGGAACTCTATCTGTTCAGAGATAATGTTGGAGATAAACCTTGTGTTTTATACAGGACTTGAAATCATAGATCCACAAACACTCTGGTCTGAACGGCTCTCAGTGTGTTGACGGCGACGGGCGAATCAATAGATAAACTCAATTTCATCAACGTTTGTAAGGATAGTGGCATCACATATTTGAAAGAGTTTTTGTCTAAAGCAGAACTGTACATTCTGCTTCGTTTATATGTTAAGCATGTTAAATGATTAGTAATTATTACTGTTAAAGAGGGGACATTTTCTGGGTGTGTTTTCAATCGCTTAAGGAGACCGGCCTTATTTCAACTATTTTAGTATAATATATACTATCATTCAAAGTTTGGGCAGTACAATGTTTTATTTTCTGAAAAAGATAATACTTTTATTCATCAAGGATGAATTAAATTGATCAAAAGTGTTAGTAAAGACATGTATAATGTGACAAAAGATTATATTTCAAATAAATGGTGTTCTTTTGAACTTTCCTCAAAGAATCCTGAAAAATAAAATGTATCAGAGAATTTTGAGTAAGCTAGGTAACACTCGGACAACACATGAAACTTATGCTTGTACAATGTTCAGGATAATGCCGAAAGAGCTTTTCTGTACTGTAACGTTAATGTGCAACTAAAACTCTGGTGCTTTCAGTTTGGTCTACTGCCGAGGTTGCTGTGGCCACTGGCCGTGTACGAGGTTTCTTTGACAACAGTGGATAAGCTGGAAGCATTAATAACTTCATACATCAGGAAATGGTTGGGAGTTCTGCGCTGCCTCAGCAGAGTGGGACTTTATAGTTAAGGAATATTGCAGCTGCCAGTCTCTGCTTTAACCGAGGAGTTCAAGTGTGCCAAGGTCAGACTGGAAATGACCTTAGTAGAGTCACGCGACAAATGTGTAAGGGAGGCAGCCCCTGTGTTAAAAACTGGTAGAAAGTGGTCAGCAAAGTAATCTGTAGTAGAGGCAAAGGCTGATCTTCAAATTGGGGATATCGTGGGACAGGTACAGCATGGAAGAGGGGGTTTTGGGCTCAGTTTAGCTCCTCCTAAATGGCACAAGGCAGGCCCAGCTCAAAGGAGGAAGCTGGTAGTCAACGAGGTGCGAAAGCAGGAGGAGAGGATGAGGTGTATAAAGGCCATTTCACAGGCCAAGCAGGGAGAGTGGATGAGATGGGAGAGTGTGGAACAACGCAAGATGGGCTGGCAAGACCTTTGGTCAATGGAAGAGAGTAGGATCAGTTTCCTTATTAGGTCAACATATGATGTTCTCCCATCACCGCAGAACCTAAACCTCTGGGTAGGAGAGGATCCCTCTTGTCCTTTGTGTTCATCCCCTGCCACATTTAGGCACATTTTGACAGGATGTAAGGTGGCTCTTAGCCAGGGTCGGTTTACTTGGCGCCATGACCAAGTACTGCGATGTTTGGCTTTAGCATTGGAAGGCAAGCGTAGTATGACCAATAAGTTGCCGCCTGTTCTAGCAAAACATTACACGCAGAAGACAATATTCATCCGCCCAGGCGAGCAACCACCAAGAAAAGGTGCTAACACCAATTCTCGCCCAGGACAACTGGAAGCTGCTAGGGACTGGAAAACGCTGCATATCAAACGAACAGTATTTATATCGTTTTTACCTCTTGTAACCACAGCCACGTCCAAGTGATCTGAGGGCGCCGGCGCTTCGGTCTGGAAGTGATCTCTCGCGCGTGTACATCACTCATTGTTTACACAGAGATTTCGGAAGTGTTACCTTTCACTGTGAAGATCTAAACATATTTAGATATACAGGAAATCGCAATGGAAGACGATTTCGATATATCAACAGACAACGTTGAATTTTTTTTTGTTTTTTGGAAGAGATCACTTCCGGCGCTTTCCGGCGCTTGCGCAGAACGAAGCGCCGGCGCCCTCAGATCACTTGGACGTGGCTGTGGTTACAAGAGGTAAAAACGATATAAATACTGTTCGTTTTCCCAAACAAACCGCTCGTTTCGTGTCTTAGGCCATCAATGTGTACTTGCATTTACGAGTCATTAAATCATGTTTAATTTGGACTTCTCTGTGCTGCTCTTTGAGGTGGTGACCATAGACCTGCATTATATGACTGACAGACAAGAACGCTTTGACCTAAAAATATCAAAACTACTGCGGAAACAAAGACACCTACATCTCGGATGCCCTTGAGGTAAGCTAAAACATACCAACAATCTATTTCAAAGTGAACTATCCCTTTAAGAGATGGACACTGATCAGTGACTCTCACACAGATGCCATGCCTGCTCACCAGCCACACACACACACACACACGACACAACAGACAACACACGACTGCAGGAAAACATCCAGCTGCGCTTCCAGAGAATCTCTGGCTCAGGTTCTGTCAACAAGCTACTTTACCTTTACATTGTGTAATGCTGTTTAAATTGGCACCAATCTGATTTATTTCAGGTTGTGAAACTATGTAACCTTTCCAGATCATATTACAAAAATCCTCTGAGGAATATAAACATAAGCGCAAGTACACTTTTCTGTCATACTTAAATCAGAAACTCAATTCTAAGAGCTTTTGAATAGTAAAAAAAAACAAAGACAAAAAACTAAGCCAAATATATGTGTACTAGTTTTACTAAAATGAGCCAAAGAAAAAAGATCAATGATTTCAGGTGGAAATCTAAACAGATCTTATACTTTATGAATATCAGCCGCAGATTTATGTTGTTCTTCTCCACCAAATGTACAGTATTATTGTATCTAAGATGTTAAAGACTGTCAAGACTGCTTAGACTTCGATCCTCCCTTGCTAGGTAGCGAATCGCGCAGCAAAGGCTCTCCAGTATTTCAGGTCCTTGTAGTAATGCTAACGAGAAACTGTGCTTCTAACCAGAAGTCGTCAGCTGTAGTTCATACTTTGGATGCTGTTTGTAAATGCTCGTTTGAACTGTGGTTTCAGGAAACACGGAGTCGTTGAACTATGTTAGTAACGACAGAACTCGCGACTATAGTTTGCTAACGATGCTTTCAGGAAACGCAGTCTGAAGCGAAGCTGTGAAACCCCACTGAGACCGTTTTTGGATGATCAAACTCGGATGTCTTGTTTCTGTTTACTCTGCATATTAAACGTCACCTAAAAAATAAAGAACTTCCCAAAAATGCCACTGTTGTTTAAAGAGCGATTTCTAGCGCATTA